ACAAATAGGGTGCACATGGCTGAAGAGGCAAAATCCATCTTCTCCGCAGACACTTTTGACTCCCAATTAGATGCTTAGATTACACTGAATTGTGCGTGTTTTTTTCTCTGGAATTGAGCGATTGATTGATTTAAGAGGTTGCGTTCGGTTCAGATTTCTACAAATGTCTTATCAAAGTGAGTCACCCTGCTTCTGTTAGAGACATTTCTCGTGCGCGCATACTCGCGAGAGTCCGCGGGAAAACGCCACGAAATGGATCGCTGGTAGGAATATTGTCTCATTATTCGATTAAGATTCATCACGAGGCATGAAATTGTGGGTGTCCCACACACAGAGAACAAAAGAATGCCTCCTTCGGGGGAGACTGACGAGCTTGAAGATCGCAAGTCGGTGGCCAGACATTGCGAATTGGATTTAGTTGTGTGATGGAATTACATGGAGTCACTGGGTTGACTGGAAGTTTTGCTAATTCTGTGCATCCGATGCTTGTGAAGTGTCTGGTCAAGTCCTTTCTCTATCTCGCGCATCACATCTGATTATGTGCATTATGTGGAGGCATATCTCTCAGTGTGATAGGAAACATCTCTCTCTGTCTCCCTCTCAAGCCAATGAAACACCATCGACTTCCGTTTCTGCATCTCTTTTATCGCAACTTTCTTCACACATCATCAGTCGCGCTATTGCATAATAATTCATCACTGCCTCGTCTCATTGTTTAGACACCAGTCTCATTGGACATAATCGCCAAGTGGGGTGTCTTAATTGGCCATGGAGATTTTGCCGTGAGGAATTTAGGAGAAGCATGTTAAATGACCGAGAATTGAGTGTAGAAAATAAGGGTGTTGCTAAGGCAGAAACTACTTTTTCTCGCTCTATAATTAATCTTCTATCCATATCTCTAATCGTTTTTGGATGCTTACGCATTAAGTAACCCTGACTTTGAGCCTCAATCACCCAGAAAAGCTCCCTCACCGTGAAAAATTGTGTCTATTTTCCTCTCTGCATAATTCTGCCTTTTCTTGATGGAACGCAAAAGGGGCGGGAATGTGGAATCAGAGTGATTGCCAATTAGAATATTCTCACAAGTGCTGATTAGAAGTTTATTCAAAAGCTACAATTGTGATCTTAATTGCATCTGCCATTCAATGCGATAACAGTAATTAATCAATTAATTTTCCACATCACTTTCCAATCATTAACACACCAATTTTCTCCCCATTCACATCTCTCCTTCCTTCCACTGACCAAATAGAATAATCTGTCGTGACATTTTACTTGAATCAATTCTTCACCCAGCAAGTAGATTTATGAGATAATTTGACTCACATGGTGTTGCAATTTTGTGTCAAATGTGTTGGTGAACTGTTGCTGCGGAACTCAATTCTCCTTACACAAAAGTTCACACAAAGTCTGTTCAGTTGATCCAATAAAAAAAATGATGCGAGAACGGGAACGTGACTGGAATCTAGACCATGTTAATCGAATTATTCACGATGAGGAATTTGGGGAGGACAATGTGGAGCTCGTGGATGCTGAGTGGAAGGATTTTGAGAACTTTCTCAGGTAAAATCGCTGATCTTGCGGGATGTTTTCTTCTCTAATGCTCTTGGGGTTGAAATCACAGGGAGTTCCGGCAGAGGCAGCTGACCAGTGCCTCAATGGAGAAAATGCATCGGCCACGGAAGTCGAAGAAAGTCCGCCATCAGGCTTTCTACCCATGCCCGCCGCCGAGTCTGTCGGAAAGTGGGCGATACGACTCCTCATCGTCTGACGATGACGACAGTATCAGCATTGACACTTCTGGCTACATAAATACCGTCGTAAGCGCCTGACAATGTCCTTGCATGCGAACTAAGAGATGCATGAGATTCCACCGAATTATGCTCTGGTCAGAATTAGACAGCGTAATTCAGTTATAGGTATGAACAACAGATGAGACGAACAGAGAGAGGGTGAAAAAGCGTGAATTATAGACAGACACAAATAAACATTGAGACAAAATTGCCCAGACGAGATCGCTCATGAGCGATTGTGGTGATAAATTACACGTAATCAAGTTGGGCGTTTAAAACAATGACATTCAGAAGATGCGCGCAATGATTTCCATCGGAAGCTTCAAAGTGAAATTTGTTGCATTAATGACTGGAAAACAGCATCATAAAAGCTTCTTTCCTATCCTTGAGAGAACATGAAGAGACTTGCGTGAGAAATGATTTTTCATTATTTGCAGTCAAATTATGGAAATGCATGAATATGTATTTTTTTTTAAAGAGTTATAAGAAAGTAACAAAATGATCGCAATGTTCTCCCAGCACTTAAACACACGCGAAAGGTGTTTGTGATCTGAGTCCTCTGAGAGAGAGAGAATTGATGAGCGAGCAAAGAGAGTGAAAAGTGTGTATGTTTTAATTGTGAGAATAATTTGTATAGTCTTTGGGGGAATGAATAAAAACCTATAAATACCTCAAGTCATCATTATTATGATGCTTCTTATTCTAAAATCCCTCTCAACTTCCACCAAGTGTGAAAGCCTGAGCGAGATAGAAGGCTCGAATTGACCACGAAAAAGTCAAATTGTCGCCAATTCATTTCAGTCGAACGGGAAATTTGCAAATGCTAACAACTCTCGAGCTCTTCTTCAACTTATTTCTTCTCCGTGCGAATCACAAGAAGATCCTATAAAGATCATGAGTGAATTGATGAGTGATTCAATGACTATTTAGTGCTTATCATCCCTGTGATTAGAATAAAATCTAGTCTTATCGCGGTAATTGCGTTTGGGCGGCCACACTTGCAAATAGAGAGAGAGAGTGAAGGTTATTATTGTATTTTTAGGCTCTCCTGCAAGTCAAATTGTCTTGAGGAGGCCCTCGAATATTGAGCAAATCGCGCCGTGTGAAGATGCAAAAGGCCAAAAATAGTGAAAAATACGGTTTTCGCGGCAAATTCACATGACGAGTGACAATATTTTGCGTGAATACGCCTTCGATCCGGAATTCCTCGTCTCCTTGCCGTCAGATCGGGCGCCAGATTCGGTGAAAGTGCGCCGCAAGCAGTACGATCGCCAGAACACGGCCGCTCCTGGCTCTCCCACCCTCAAAATCTCCGCCTCGTGGAGCGATTTCTCGTTCTTGCGCGATCCGCGGAAGAGAACAGTCTTGGCTTCGGCCTCACCCACAACTGAAGATGTGTCCAAGTGGAGCTTGGAAGAGGAGAAGACCACGGAAGTGGAGAATGAAGTTGAAGCTTTCTACTTTGTAAGTTGTGCGCTGGGATTCTGCAAGGGGGAGAAATTGTGGTTGAAAATTTGTAAATCCACTTTTGTAAAGCACTTACAAAAATTCAGATGACAAATTTAATTTCTTAAGTTTCTATTTGATTTTTCTGTAAGAATTTAGTTAAAACCGCTTTATTTTCGATCATAACCTAGAATTAAGAAGCATTCTAGGACAAAGTTTGATAATTTTATGCTGTTTTCATATGTTTTTCAATTCTGCTAATTAATAGCAATAATTTACGACTGAAGCAACCAGAATTACTGCTTTTGGAGGTTAAATCAATCTTAAATCTGTCACACAATCTAAAAAAGCATTAGTATGAATATAAATTCCAAGAATAACGCTACAATTGGTTGGAAAACAAGCACATTGAAGATGTATTTGAGATCATTTTTACTGCTGAACTTTATACCATCATGCTTTATCTCCTCCTTGGAATTTTGTAGAACAATTTTTGAGTGCCAAACCAACCGAATGAATCTCCATTTGTCGCAAAGTCTTCAGGAAACATCCTCTTGTGTGCTGTGAAAATAGAGACACGGCTTCCTCGTTTACTGAAACACACACACTTTTCCTAAATCACTCAGAATGTTGCTCAGTGTCTTATTTATTTGCTTTGACGATAATGAAAATATACTACTTGATTTCGCACCATTTCTCAAAGTGTATAATAATTCTCGGCTACTGAGAAAATCAGACTTGACAATGTGATGTAGAAATTCAAGAAATTTCACCTCGACGGTGTCGATCAAGGGAAAGTCTCGCATTTTTCCTCTCCCTCCAAATGCACTCCCACGTCAATCTCTGCGTGTGTGTGTGCTTTTCCCTCTGGTGACGAGGAAAGACAGACGGTGTTGTTTGTCCGCGAATGCGAGGAAAATTGTGTCACGGTTAGTGGGATCGAATGAGACATTTGAGTGAGAGAAATGCGAGAGAAAATCCCTCCGCCTTGGGTCAGATGGGGATTAATTTAGTACACACACACACATGATGATGATGATGGGTTTAATGCGTAGGAAGGGTGGTAAAAATAGACACACAACAATAGGAAAATGTTACACGATTTTCGAATTGCCAACAGCCAAAAATATCAACAAAACGCAGACTCGCGACAATTGATGCGATTAACAAATTAACGCATCCATGAATGAGATGTTGAATGACTGCGAGAAGTGCACAATTTGCCTGTAAAATCTTTGTGGGTGTGTGCAGAACATTGTGTGTAAGTTCCCACTTTTTTTTGTTGATAAGATGAAAAGAAATCCCTCCCGCTGTATTTCATCTGATTAACCGAGATTTGCCAAGTTGAGAGACTCATAATACCACTGTCACACGGTGTATTGACATTATCAGAAGACCACAATCTCCACCTTTGATTCAAAAACTTTTTATGGCATGCGACTGACTTTGGCGACAATAAATTTTCCCTATTGCCGAGGGACTGGCGAAAAACACTTCTCGCCGGCAGAGTGACAACAACACGAGATAAAGATGGAAATAATGTGAAAAATACGCTTCTTTGGGCAAATATTTAATTGGAGGTCCCAAATAAAAATTGCTCAGAGCATGAAATTGCACGTTTTTCACATTCTGATTATTTGCTCTTTTTTTCTGGTGATGGTTATTAAACAAGATGTTTTCTTTTTTTGTGATTTCCAGGAACTCCACACTGAATCCCATCTAATCAGAACTTTTTGTTCTCTTGTTAATAAAATCTTTCAGATGTACGGTCGCTACACGAAAGATCTAGGCGAGTATGCAAAAGATGAAGCGAGAAGACTTAAATTGCTCGAACGACGACGGAAGCAGGAGGACAAAGCACGAAACAAGGTATTTAAGCAATTCACTGGGCGCACAAGAGCTCTGGGTATATAAACACTGTCTTTATCACCGGATTCTTTTTCTGGGGGGAGACAACAAGACACAATAATTTCTTTCTTATACTGTATAATTTGCATGACGGAGAGCCGTGAAATTCCCTCGAGGGGGCCAAAGTCCCCCAAAAGGCTGCACGCGCGTGAGCTTTTTGCTGCAAACACACAAAGTGAAATTGCCCGCGGCGCGAGAAGAGAAGTGGAAAAGAGGCGTGTCGCTGGAAGAAATGCGACACTCATTTGTGGGCCACAAATTGCCAAAAATTCCACGATAATTGATTTATTTAATCATCCAATAAATTATTTGCAGAAAAAGCCAGCTTGACAAATTGAGCGCGCTTTTTCTCTCAAGTCGAATGACGTCGTTCACGTGCGCGCAATGTCGAGGGGCGATTAACTGGAGTAAACTGGCTAATGAGCAAGACATTGGCGAATTTAGAGGTGATTTTGGGGGACAAGATGTCTGGGAAGGAGCGAATAATTGACTATAAAGTGAACGATAACAGTTTTTGCACTTGTAAAGTGCTTAAAACGACTGAAAGCTTCTTAAAGATTCACAGCAAGAATGTTCAGAAGAGTTGCAGAAAAGCCTTTCATTTTATTGTTTCGCGATAATGTCAACCTTCTGATTCTGCCTGGAATTTTATATTTAACATATTGCTTCAGACAATGGCTAATTTCTTCCTTCCTTGACACACTTTCAGCCCCGCAAGAGACCTTAAAACCTCAATAAATATTCTGTGATATTAGACTTAATTCGTTCACTTAAAGACCCATGATAACAGAGCAAAAGCGACTGCTTTTGGTGAAGAAATTGCACTCCTATCGATTGGCTAAAATTGACTAATTATACTGGCAAAGAATGCCAAAGCTCTGCTGTAAAACTTAACCACCCCTCGAGATTGCGCGGTTTGTTGAACTCTTAGCGTTGATTTGCGCAAAAGAAACCTGTTAAAAAGTGGTTCCAGGAGAGGATATTATCGCATGTAAAAAATGGGATTTCAGATGGTGAAATCATTAAGAAACTTCTCTTGGAGTAATAATAAAAAAGCGTAAACAAAGTATAAATGAATTTTTCAAAAGTTTTTTGCGCACAATCGCTTGAGTCTTATTTTTCTTGATTCTGCAAAAGAGCCTTGAACTTCGCAAGAAAGAATTGTGCAGATAGAGAGAAAACCAGAAAATCCCGAGGGAATTGCGCGGGAAGTTGCGATGCAGAGCGCGATGGCGAGAGGATGAATGCCAATGTATAAAGTAGTAGTGGTGGGAACATCTTGCAGGAACTCCTCGGCCATCGTGAGAGTCGCTGCTTCAGGATCATGTCGTGGATTTGGCGTCACTCTGTTGCCAGGATGGGCGAGGACTGGATATTTCTGGCACTATTGGGTGTCATAATGGCTCTAATCTCAGTGAGTTGGACTAAATTGAAGTGCATCGAAGTCTTCTGCTCAACGCTTTTCTCTTCTTTTTTCCCCTTGTGTACAGTATGTGATGGACAAGGGAATTTCCATGTGCACAAATGCTCGCGTTTGGCTCTATCGCGATCTCACATCTCAGCCTGTGGCTCAGTATTTCGCCTGGGTCTCCCTTCCAGTGTCTCTCATCCTCTTCTCCGCTGGCTTCGTGCACCTCATCGCGCCCCAAAGCATCGGCTCTGGCATCCCTGAGATGAAGACAATCCTCCGCGGTGTCGCGCTCAAGGAATACCTCACGTTCAAGACGCTCGTGGCGAAGATCGTCGGACTCACGGCCACACTGGGCAGTGGAATGCCGCTGGGGAAAGAAGTGAGTATCTCCAGATCCCGCAGAATGCTTGCAAAGTCATCAGTTTCCCTCTCTCTCGTCAGGGTCCCTTTGTCCACATTGCCAGTATTGTGGCGCAGCTGCTCAGCAAGTTGGTCACATCCTTCCAAGGCATTTATGAGAATGAATCCAGGAACTCTGAGATGCTCGCTGCGGCCTGTGCCGTGGGAGTGGGCGCCTGCTTCGCAGCTCCAGTTGGAGGTGAGACAGGCAATCTCTCGTCGCCGAAGAAACTCTCCTTCATCCTTGTGTCCTTTTTCTCCACAGGTGTGCTTTTCAGTATTGAAGTAACAACGACGTACTTTGCCGTGAGGAATTACTGGCGAGGATTCTTTGCTGCAGTGTGTGGAGCCACGGTGTTCCGATTGCTGGCCGTGTGGTTCCAGAAAGCGGACACTGTGACGGCTCTCTTTGCCACAAATTTCACCATGGACTTCCCCTTTGATCCTCAGGAGCTCTTTGTATTTGCCTTGATAGGGTAAGATTCTTAAAAAAGCGTGCAAAGTTTGCTTATTGTACTGAAATCTTCCTGTTCTTTGCCGTCTTTCAGAGTGGTCAGTGGCTTGGGAGGAGCTCTGTATGTGTGGGTTCACAGGAAATACGTCCTTTTTATGCGCTCCAACAAGAGGATCAACAAATTCCTTCAGAAGAAGTGAGTTTTCCTCAAAAATCGCCACGGTTTTCCACTAATAAAATATTTCTCTGTCCACAGTCGCTTCCTTTATCCGGGAATATTGGCCCTGATGGTGTCCACGATCTCCTTCCCACTCGGATTGGGGCAGTTCATTGCCGGAGAGTTGAGCACGCACGAGCAGGTGTTGCAGCTCTTCACCAACTTCACGTGGACAAAGCCCGAGCTCACGGTTGAGCAGGCGGCTATCGTGAAACATTGGACCACATCTTACACGAATGTCTTTGTCAATCTCACCATTTACACACTCTTCACGGTGAGTCTTGAATCTGTGGGTGTTTCCGTTCAATCTCTACCTTCACTCTCTCTCTCTCTCTTTCAGTTCTTCTTCTCCATCATCGCATCGACAATCCCAGTGCCTTCGGGAATCTTCATCCCAGTGTTCAAGATCGGCGCCGCAATTGGGCGTCTCGTGGGCGAAGGCATTCATCTGTGGTTCCCCAACGGCGTGCGATACGGTGGGAAGTTGTCCCCCATCATCCCCGGCGGCTATGCCGTGGTGGGCGCCGCGGGATTCGCCGGAGCTGTGACGCACACGGTGTCCGTGGGCGTGATTGTGTTCGAGATGACTGGGCAGATCACACACTTGGTGCCTGTGATGATCGCCTCGCTGATCTCCAATGCCATAGCGGCCCTCCTGCAGCCCTCCATGTACGACAGCATCATCCTGATCAAGAAACTTCCCTACCTGCCGGATCTGCTGCCCTCCAGCTCCGGCATGTACAGCATCCACGTGGAGAACTTCATGGTGCGCGAGGTGAAGTACATTTGGCAGGGCATTACGTATCAGGAGCTCAAGGAGGTGCTGAAAGCCAACAAAACCCTCAGAGGCTTTCCCCTGGTGGACGATCCAGAGAATATGATCCTCCTGGGCTCGGTGCAGCGCTTCGAGCTGATAAAAATGATTGACAAGCACATTGGGCGCGACAAGAGACTCGAGGTGGCGGCGAAGTGGCAGAAGGAGGCCCAGGAGCGTGCCAGGGAGGAGCAGGAGCGTCTGCAGCGTGAGGAGAGTGAGCGACAGCGTCGTCCATCCAGGTTCGAAGTGATGCCGGCCCCGGACATTCTAACACTGCGCCAAATTGCCAACAATGAGATGCTGCCGCCACAAGCGAAGAAGGTGCAGGCACTGAATCATCCAGTGCTGGGATCACAGCCCAAGAAGTCCATCCTGAAGAAGACCAACTCCTTCAATCTCAAGGGATTCTCACCGATCTCCCCCCACAGTCCCGTCGCCACGCCGTATTCCACCATCACGGGCACAGAGAGTCGCCTCAGGTCGGCTTTCGAGATCATCTTCAGGAAGTCAGCCACGCTGGCCGATGTGCAGCCCGATCCCGAGGTGGGCTCCATCGGATCGCCCAGCATTGGACCGGATTCGGCGCCGCTGAGTCCCAGTATCTCGAAGAAGGTGCAATTGCCGCGCGAGCGAGTGTGCGACATGTCGCCGGAGGATCAGAAGATCTGGGAGATGGAGGAGATGGCGAAGCCTATTGATCTCGCGGGCGCCAATGTGCACATCGATCCGGCGCCCTTCCAGCTCGTCGAGCGGACGTCGCTGCTCAAGGTGCACTCGCTGTTCTCCATGGTGGGCATCAATCATGCCTATGTGACGAAGATTGGGAAACTGGTGGGCGTCGTTGGGCTGAAGGAGGTGAGTTAAGAGTTGGGGTGTCTCTTAAGTTAAGAGAGTGAAGACTAAATGTGCGTCAATTTCTTTCCCAGCTTCGACAAGCCATTGAGGATGTCAACAGCGGCGGGAGTCTGACGAAGCCAAATCCTGAGGAGGAGCCCGCTCCGATGCCCTTGACGCCGCTGACGCCTCAGGAAGAGCCACTGTTGCAGAAGAGCAACGCCAATGTGAACAACACTGTGTCTTCGATGGATTCCGCCCTGTCCAACTCCGACAATTGCTCAGACATTGAGCTGGACAACATTGGCAATGGCGAGGCGAAGAAGAGGGTGGACTAGAGAGTGTGCCAAAAGTTGTGAAATTGCGGACTTGTGATTGTGTTATGTTATTTAATTATTTTATTTTAATTTTACTAAACAAAAATTGTCCATAAAATAGAAGAAAAAAAAACCTGATAAGAGATGCGCAGTGAGAATATTTTAATCCCCCATTTTTCGTGTCTGGCGATTTTAGTTATTATGTCCAATTTTTCTTTTAATTTCTGTTTTTTGTAAGAGAGAATCAAAAGACAATTCTAATGTGCTTTAAATGAAGATTATTTTTATAGGAAGTTGTGAGATATATGAAAGTATTTTTTGCAATATTTTAACTCTTTGATATTCTTCCTCAGAGCGCGCGCGTGCGCCAATCGAATGGACAAAAATTAAGAGAAAAACAATTATAAAGCGAGAGATGAAAGAAGAATCATTTAAATGGTATGCCAAATAAAAGACATTTTGATAAACCATACAAGAAATCCTTTTTATTTTATATTTATGGAGACAAGAGCTGAAAGCGAAAGCACATTTTAAGGCTATAGAAGATCCCCGTAAAGTAATTTCTACACACCGAAGGAAGGTTTCTTATTTAAGATAAAGCTGGGAAAAGAGTGGCTTGTTAGTCACACAGCGACGATGGTCACCTTGGCGAAGTGCCATTGCAGATGGAGGAAGGTTAGTAGTAGAAGGGAATAGAGGAGGAGCGCCGTGGTCGCGGCGCTAATAGACTCCATTGATGTTGTTATGCATTTGATTATTATTGCTGCCCGCCTGGATTCGGCGTCGCGGACTCGAAGTGATCTTCTCCGCCTCGAGGCGTCCAGAGAGGAAAATGGCCAGACGCTCCTGAAACACGCAACCGCCTATTAATCACCGCCAACTCCTCCTTTTTCCCACCCCCATTCTTTCACTCACCAGAGCATTCGTGGCATAGCGCTGGATGGCGTCATAGACACTGTGCACCCTCTTGTACATCCCCTCGGCGCCCCTCACCAGTCTCACCTTCACCTTCTCCAGGCGCGCCATGCGGATGAGCGAGTCCGTGATGTAGATAAAGTGATGAATCATGTCCGTGGCCTTCGATTTGGCCGTCTTGGGCAGCTTGTTCACCGTGTTCACGGTGAAGTTGATAAAATGCACAATGCGACGTGCTGTCTCGCGCGTAATCAGCACCAGCACCTGCTCCAGCGTCTCCGGGCGCGCCTGATTCTCCGGCTCGTTCTCACTCAGGTACGCCCAGAGTTCCTTGGCGCGCTGCACCGCCTGCTTGGGATCGGTGACAATCAACTCTGCCGCATACACGAGAATGTGAATCGCCTCGACGCTCTGCTTCTTCAGCGCGCGCGCCTCCATGATTGTCCTCTTGGTCAGGCGACGCTTCAGCTTCCTGGAGAATCGCTGGCCGCGATGAATTGTCTGGATCACGTGGATCTCCTTGCTGTCATCCTCCGCATTCTTGTTGTTATCCACTGTCAGAGGCAAAAGAGGGAAGAAGAAAAAGCGTGAATATATAGCGTAACCACCAGGCGGCTCCATCGATAAATTGGCCAAAAATTGAAAGCTTCTTCCGCTTCCTAATTACTTCTACTGAAACGTACACCAAGTCTGTTCAGAGTATTTCTCCCTTGAAGGCGACGATGAGTGGCGCTAAAACACATCTCTAGATGTTTAATAATTTGGCGCTAAGTTCCAAAAAAAAAGCTTGTTAATAGACGAAATTTCTCACAACAAGGCGCTAGTTTACATAAGAATGCGAGACAGACGACAGAAAAGTCCGTGTTTATCTGCGAATGGGCAAAGTGTATTTAAAGTGGGAGACAAAGTGTGATAAGGAACGGGTTAATTGCAGTTTCTTGCCCACCCCCAATGATATCAGTCTCGCAACTGTTAATAGGCCATAACTCATCATCTATTTATGCCTCACATGATATTGACAAGTGCAAAAAAATTCCGCTCCTCCGTCGAGAAGAGATAGAAATATTTTGAATAACGCCACTTTTTTACAGTCTCCCCGTCTGTCGCTCCTCTCAAGCAATTCATCTTTTTTTGCACTCTCTGCATCTCCGGACTGCGCTTTTTCACCACACTCGCTCTCTCACTCTGTTCCAGTGGCAACTTGTGGAAGTTGTACATATACAAAATCATCTCTTCAATGCTCCTCAGTCTCACCCCGCCATCCAAGCTCCTTTGGCTTTTTTTACACCGCGATAACCCCACAATTTGACCTCCACATCACACAATAACGATAAATCTCTCCGCACAATAACTGAAGAGCATCTTGATGATATTCAACACGCACACCAAATCTCCTATCGCTCCAATTTCCACATAGACTGACGGAGGGAGCATCTTGCACTTCATGTCTGCTCAAAGCACAAAAAGAAGACCTTTTCCACTGTCTTTCGTGGGTTGAAAAGCTCAGAGTTGTTCAACGATCAAGATCAACATGCGCGGATGGAACAGAAATTGCGACAGAGTGGAGAAGATAAGACACTCACAGTCAACTTCGTCTTGGCCATTCTGTTCCGGAAGGAAGCGCTCCACGTACTTGTCCGCCGCATGAATGGCGCCGTCAATTCTATCCGCCGCGTAATTGGACACCTTGCTGTCCATCATGGAGTGACCGAACTCCTTCACCGAATTGGCTCGTCGCAGCACAGGACGCACTAAGTGATCGGACATGTACTCTTTGGTGTTGTAGTAAACCTGGACAAGAAGAGTTGAGAAGTTGCGTGAAAGCTGTGTAAAAAGAAAATAATTGACTCTCTTCGCTCACCACTTGGGGTGGAAGATAAACGATGGGCACTCTCTGTTCCACAATATCGAGGCTCATGCACATGAGATTGTCGATCTTATTCAGGGGTCCCTCCACCAGTCTCACAGCCGGCTTGAAGGAGTCCACGGCGGCCCAGAGCGTGGCCTCGGCGGTGCTGAAGTACCAGTTGAAGAGTGTGTTGCTCCTCTTGATGCGCGAATACACTGTCTCGGCCGTCTTGAGGCTCGTCTCAACAATGGGAATGCTCCCAATTCTCGCCACAGCCTCCATCCTCGGCAGTCCGGAGTTGCGTCGCTTTATCTGGCCACCAGCCACTGTTCACGGAGAAGGAAGAGACACTGTTAGCATGGCGGCAATCCAATTTGTCTGTCGTCAATATTGATTTCCCCGCAGACGGACAAACTTTACACACTTCCGACACCCTCTAATCCCCCTCTTCCTTCTGTCTCCCTCTCTCTCGGGATTACTATCAGTGGTGTGTGGAATTTCACAGGGAGAATTACTCACTCTTTGGCTCTACTTAATGCCCACTCTCTCTCCTCAAGCCGCTGTACTGTTCACCCTCCTTATCGCAAAAACACTTTTACAACCAATGAACAACCGTTAGTGGGTTTCGCAATCAAAATCAAGTGCTGGCGGGCGATCCTCCTTGGGCCAAGAGCAGCACAGAGAGACAGACAGACACGCAGGACAGGCGCACGAATCACTGGAGAGTAGCCAACAATTCCTCAGCACGGCCACAGCTCGACTGAAATGCATGATCCGAGAGAAATCCCGGCTGGATCCCTTCCCCTTACTATCCAGGCCTAATCTCTACCCATGTTGAACCGTGGCTGACCTCTGGAATCAGAGACACTTCAGCTTTCAACATTGTCTCGCTCACTCACATGGAGAAATTGGTTGCTCAGCAATCGAGTGAGACATGGAGTTGTGAACTTTGCCCATGATCATCATGTGGATGCACTTCCCAGAGTTCTCTCTGCTCTCCATTGCCCGCCTAAAGTCATCCCATTTAGCCCCATTAGATTAGCCCGCGCACTTTTTGCCAGCCGGCTTTCACTATTACTCAATAGTTTGACACCGCGAGGGCAACAAAACAACTTTTTTCTCCTCCATTCAATTCTCAATCGTGGAAATTATATTCTCCCGGAGTCTAGGAGAAACTGGTGTGTGAATAATCGCTCGACTGCTTCTGCTTCAAGTGCTAATAAATTCGTGAGGAGAATCGCACATTCTGTCTGCCTTTAGGCGCATTCGCAGGAGGGGAAATTAAGCTGCGATCACACAGATTTTCCACGCTGAGGTGAGAAGAAGATCGTTGAAATAGAGTGAATGATTGGGAACTTTATTGGCCACTTTGGCTTCACAATAATTCTTCTGCACAGATTTATCATCAATTTTTGATTTAGAGACACAATCAAATTTTTAAACACTGAACATTTGAATTACTACACAAAGACACAATTGAACTGAGAATGATTTCTTTTAACTGCATTTGAAATGATAAGTATTGTTGGTAACTGACTTTTATTGTCTGTGCCTCAAAGTGAGTTCAACGGCTCTTAATATTGGTAATTAAGAAGTGGTATTTAATCAGATTTTTTTCTCCTTTAAATTCTTGGGTCATTTGAGAAGCGGCGATATCACAAAATTTCCTACACATCATTTCACCCCGAAAGTCCCCCAAAAACACATTCCACTCTGACCTCTCTCGTCGTCCACCCACTCAATATCAACACCAAGTTGATGTTAAGAAGGCAATTTTGATGTGGCAAGAAAAAAAGGCACACGAAATGACTCGGGAATGTGCCAACATTGTGTTTAATTTTTTTGTCAATTGCACTCTCTCGCGCCCCGCAAATGAGGAAGGAAAAATTTTGTGATTTCAAAACACGCCCGCGATCGTTGGACTTTTCAGAGAGAGAGAGAACAGCACAGAGATCGTAAGTGAAGAGTGTGAGGAAAGAGTTTATGCTGTACTTTGGATCATAAAATGTGTGACACTGGCGATGTCGACTTTCTTCCCGCGCCAAAGTGACAAGAGCGCCGCCGCCAAGAGCAGTTTTGATAAGGGCAGCATTTTTTTCATCGTCTCCTGTGTGTGCCAACTTCAATGAGAAAAGTTCGTTGACACAACCAAATCATCATGAGAGACATGATGCAATGAAGTGAATCAGTTTCGTGCTCACCCACACGACAGAAAAACAAAGGAAAATCGTCTTCCTGGCAGCCCAACAATTGCGCGTTCTTTAGAAAAGTCAAAAAATTCTTTTCGTGAGTTCTTTCTTTTTTTTTCCTCAACTCTCCACATATCGTGGCCTCGCACAACTCCAAAGTGATCTCGTTTTTTTTCTCTCTCTCTCTCTTGCACTGCTTGTGCTCCTCAATCTCACCTCAATCTTCCTCTGTTGTGTCTCTCTCGTGGTTGGGTTTTCTTCCTTGAGAGAATGAGAATCGTGAGTGAATTTGATGAGTATTTTAAAATTTTTGCGTAAAATACCAAAGTTTGTGCTCGAGAAGATTGGTGGGTATCTTTTCGCAAAAGAGAGAGAGAGAGAATTCCAACTCGCAAGTATAGACGCAATGGCCAGAGCGAAGAATACCGCGCGATAAGAAGGATGAATTTGAACATCCACAAAATTACCTCTGGATGTTATGAAGGTGTATTTACTTACAATTTCGTGATCATATAGCGTGGCACGTAAAGTGTTTTGCTGGCTGATCGCCTGGAATTCTCCATCTCACTCTGGTCACCGTGTGCTTTTGTACTTCTTCAAAATCGACCAAGATTGAGTTCTCTGATTGAAATATAATTCCCTGGAATGCGATATATCGGTTTATTAGTCTCTCTCTTGCTCGTCTTTTTCCATACTCAAGCACACATCTCCATACACCTATTTCACTGTGCGGCTGGCGCGAACCTATTCGCCTAAGCCATCGCGCGCGGATGGTATTGGAGAAAAAAGATGACCAAAAATAGCGGGAACGAGAGATGTTTCTCATTGGAGCCCATGGAGTATCATGTGTGTATAATTTATTATGTTTCCCCCCTTGAACAGCGAAAATATGCGTGTAAATTGTGTATCTCTCCTATAACTCATAGGCAAGAGAGTGTGAGATAAAAGATTACACCCAATAAATAGCTTACGTATGCACTTTTCGCGCCACTTGCAATTGGAATCACACTAAAAGTGCCCCAGCCAGGAAATAAAACGCTCAACTCTTTTTTTTTTCTTTCTCTCAACACATAAATTCTTACTCATCCACCGATTTTTATTCTACACAATCAGAGGAATGCAGGAAGTCGTATCATCGCAGACTTTCATGAAATTAATATATTTCTTATCGCTCAACATATTCAATGCACTTCATCGGTAATCGCCACAGCTAAAGAGCTTCTTCCCAATGTTGATAATTACACTACGTTTCTTCTTTTTTTTCTTCTTTCACGAGAAAAACACAGCTGATAAGCACGTTTCAGCAAAGAGTGAATTATCAGGAAATTATGCAGATGTGCAAATAAATGCTTTTGCCGCGGAAAGTTTAACCCTTTTGTGCATAACGAGAGAAACACCGCGTGGCACAGTTCAATTGGCAGATTCTGTGATTAGTTTGTGTGTACAATTTTTGAGCCATTGATATACGCAGAAAGAAGCATCTTGACAATGAGGTGAAGTGGTTTGGAAAGAATCTCCGATTTCATTTAAATACTCTTTTTCCCATTTATTATTAGATTTCATCGTAATTAGTGGCTTTCCAAGAAGGCAACATTATAGAGAGGAAGAGAAGCCAGATCTGAAGATGAATATATCGTCCCACTATTGGGAGAATTCTCGGTATAAATATTAATAAAATAAGTCTTGGCGTGCAAGTGAAGAGATTACAGTGGATGGAATATGCGTGCTCAGTAGAGTGGCTTCTTGGGAAATTTATTTCCAATAAATAAACAGTAAAGCCTTGTGAATTTTATAGTTGGTGTACACACAACACACCGGCTAAATATCTCCGCGACCACTCATTCTCACCCTCCATTCGCGCCAAACTGAAAATTTCTCACACACATCGATTGCGCGCGCGCGCACTCTTGGAAGATGCTGGAGCGCGCGGAGATGCGCCATCGCGGAGAGCAGAAATCTCTGGAGAGAAAACCGGCAGTGTGATCCAATAATTTATCCATTTTAATAATCGTCGCGCGCTCACACACAGTCGCGCGCGAGCGCAGCTTAGAAAGTCTGCGTGTACATTGAACTATTAGCCGCAGTGCGCGATAGTCGAACGAAAATCTCGATATACTAGCTGAGTGGCGACCAGTTTGTAAGCCAAAGGCATATTACTAGTTTTTCAGATAACCGCTTTGCTTTCGCATTCCACAGAATCGCTTTAAAAAGTCAACTGACGTCAATCTGCCTCTTTTCTATGACACTCTCAGCGCGCGCAACTTGAATCGCGCGCCACTCTATTTGCAGCGCTGCCACGTTTACCAATGCCTATCATAACATTATGTACACCACACAGAGAGAGAGAGCATAGGTATGCTTTGGGCCGGAGAGGCGCGGAATGTCTTCCTGGGGTCGCAGGGCGCAAAAAAGGTGCATTCCTTTCATGCGGTGAAATGCTACCGGCCAAATGCCAAGACTTTGCGCGTCGCATTGACAAATTCCCTTCCATCTTCTAGATTTCTGTGAAATCTAATGACTGATTTTCCCTCTACACAGTACTAAAATATACTCTCCTCCATGAGCCGCGAATTCACGGCATAGTTCATTATATAATAGCAAATATTTTCTCATATTCCACTGCGCCAAGGGGGAGATATTGCGCCCGGGCAATTGCTGTCCTAGAATTCCTTCCAAGATTCTCTGCATCAAACACTATCCCAATAATAATTGGGTGAGAATGGGAAGAAAATAGTGTTGTGTCCATGAGTGTTGGACACCTCAATGGAGAAGACGAAGAGAAAAAAAGGCAGCCACGTTCTTGTGTGGTGGTTGAGTTGATTTAAAAACAAACTGATAAATAATTTGCAAAGGAATGCGATGTTTACAGTAAACTCCAACGAGGAATTGTACACTCATACCAGAAAACTTTCAAATGGCTCCGCGATGGAAAAACTCGCGATATATATATATATGCTTGGCTGCTACATTCTCACCGCTCTCTTCGCCACTGCATACGGGCATTTTTGTATTTTTGCCGCGCGACCACTTCTTGCAATATAACAGTTGATTTTGGTGTGTCTCTCAAAGCATTCCTCAGATTGTGGGATCGTGCAAATCTCATATAAATTATCAGTCTTATCTGCAATCGAGGAATTTCATTAGATAGCCGCGCGCACAGCTTTCATGGGACTCTTTCGCGTGCCTTCACGACTCACGGACAGCAAGAGAGAGCGACGGAGGACATTAGCTGGGAAATGCTTAATATTTCACGCAGAACATTTTTCCCTCTTTCAGCGCAATTAATGCCGCATTCAACCTACGAATAGCGGCTGTGTTGGACCAAAATCCATCCCAGATCACTCATTAAGGCTAATCTCGTGCATTCTAATCAGCCTCAAGTACGCAAGAGATACGCGAATCTCGCAATTTCCATGTTATCATGATCATGAATTCCATTCCGAAAAAACAAATATAGGGGAAAGCGGGGAAGAATAAGTCAGGGATAAATTCGGTCAAAGTATTCTTATCTTAAAATAATGTTCTTTACTTAAAGACTTTCTTTATTATTGCCTTTGGATTTCATTCTAGAAACAAGTGAAAAATTGCATTTCGAAAGTGCCCCACAGTGGGGCAGTTTTGTACAAAATGCAGTGAAAATCCCTGTATTTTCTTTACTCCGGAATAAAACGTTTCTTCTTTGTGAGAAATGCATCGGAAGTCTTTACTAAAATCCCCGTCTTTCCCCTACTCAAGCCATCATCACAAACATTGCACGTCAGACATCCTGGCTTGTTCCAGTAAACAAATCCCCGCGTGCTCTTCTATTTCAATTCCATGCCGCAAATATATTTCACGAATTAAAGATAGAATTCGCGAAAGGCGCGCACAAAAAACGACACGAGGCAGCATTTCTGCGAAAGCAGACACCCTCCAATCAGCAGAAAAGAGACATTAAATGGGGCATTTTGCACATAGAAGTGCCTGACTTCCCCGCGATTTGAGTGAGATTCCAGAAAGCGCGCATTTATTAATTGCTACCCTCTAGATATGCTGTGCTTTTATGCTCCTATTTTTCGCCAAGTGTGTGATCCTCTGCATGCCTCAGCACGCGGGGTCAGGGCGCGCGCGCGCACGCGAAAAAAAAGTGAGTCAAAATGTACACACATTCCGAAAAAGCGACGTCAATATTTATTATCACACACCGCTTATAAATACAATTACGACAATTGCTCTGGTGGCGGGAATAGGAGTACAAGAATTTTATACTTGTACACTTTTTTTCGGAATGTACCGCTCTTTTCGCTCCCTCTCGCTCACTCTCTCGCGTCTAAACCAACATATCCACTGTACACACTTCGTGTGGTGTGGAAGAAAACCATGGGATCACGCCAGAAAGCATAGTGTTGGGAAAATGTTTGTAGCACACATCCGAAGCTTCTCGGGCACACAAACACCAAAACTATGCTCTGTGCGCACGGTTAAAAATAATCTCCCAAAGAGATGGTTAACAGCACACTGTGAACAATGTGGTGCTATAGCAACACTTGCGGCAATACACACAGAAAGCACGCCGTGTTTCTGTGTGCATCGCAGTGAAATAAGACAATTTCTCAGTGACTCCGTTCGATGGTGTGCACAAGGAATTCAGTTTCGAAAATGAGCGCTTCAAGAGAGGTCTGTCAGCTCTAACGAGTCACTGTGTGTTTTTTTTTCTCACCATTCGCCCCAATCGCCGCGAATTCTATCAACATTTCTCCTCGATTAAGTGACTTTGTTTTTTTTATTCTTTTAAATTAAGTTCATTGTGCCGTTTTGTTTCTCTACATAAGTTTCCGAGTATCCACACCGAGAGGGAGAAGAATTATCGCAAATTTTCTCCTCACTCAAAATTGTGCGCAAAGTGTCTGGCTTTAAACTGATCTGTGCAGTTAATCCTGGGATTAGGCTTATAAGTGTTATCCAATTCGAAGGAGAGTGACTGCCAAATGATCAACTTATGGGCTGAACAGTCGCCGAACAGCAACATTTGCCCATAAATCCATGGAAATGCCCATTAATTGATACACATTAATTGAGCACAAAAGTATACGCGAGTGAATTCTTTTCTACACTGTTGACTGTGTGTTTTTTTTTCGCGAGAAATTGTAAAAGTTGATCTTTTTGTTCGCATTTGAGACTGTTTGCAGCGAGAGCGAAAGAGAGAGAGAGAGAGCTGGGGAAAACCACTGGATCGTTTTTCCCTCAAAAAAAGAAATATAGTAACCCAAATATTATAGTTTCCGTTGAATTTCATCCACCCCGCGCTCAGTCATGGACAAATGAAATTCTTCCCTCTCACCGTGCCGAAAAAAAGGCCCGATGGCGTGTGTGTGTGAGGTTTTAATAAAATGGTGTTGAACCTACAAGAAAAGCTATAACAGATTATCTATTATTACACAAAAAAATACCATTGGAATGTGCAACACACGAAGAAGAAGTGGCAACATCGCTCTGTGGAATTTCAATATGGCGGGACAGAGTGGATAATACACCCATCTCACTCACCATCCGTCCAGCAGTGTTGAGAGGAGTGAGAAGGCGCGACGGAGAAGTTTGTGTTATACTGTTGAATTGAAATAGTGTGTTGTGAAGAAAAATACAAGAAGTAGAAGGTTCGAAAGGCAAGAAAAAAGGTTTTATATTTCTCCTCTATACCCACAATAGAGGAAGATTTGTGTATGTAGTTTGAGAAGTACATGAGAGAGAGAAAGAGAGAAGCAAAACAAGAAGATAGTTCACAACAAGACAAGAAAAGATAGGGCGAAAAAAAACACGGGGGAAAAGGGCCCGAATAAACTCTGTGCGCGGGTAAAAAGTTAAAAGAAAAGTGTTGAATATGCCAAAAAGACATAGTAAAAATGGTGAACTTCACTTGCCCGATGGTTGGGAAATTGGTCAGGACTACGATGGAAAGATCTACTACATTGATCACAACAGCAAGAAAACCACTTGGATCGATCCAAGAGACAGGTGAGCAGTAGTTGTGTGCAGACCTTCGAGAATCCCCCTTAACAATCACCTCACATCAACCTTCAAGATCGCATTCCAGCGAGATTTCCACGCTTCACGCCGCCTCAGAACCCGCTCATGAGATTTTCCACTTCCAATCTTCTGACACTTCTTGAGAAAATCCCCCATCTTGAGGCTCTTGTGCCGAAGCATTCACAGCACTTGTCATTGACGGAATTAATTCGCCACAAAGTCATTGAATCATAGAGGAATTTGCCAAAAGGCATTCAATTATACGATTTTAATAGGGAAATTATATGTAGAAAGTGGTCAGAAGGAAGTTAAAAATTGATCAGAATAATATTTTGACTATTTTCAATGTGAAATTCCGATGAAAAACAGCGAAGCAAAAACTAGAATAGATTTTTCTTTTTGCGTTTTTTCTCTCCAAAAGGTCAAATTAGAATTCTCAAGCGAAGTTTACGATTAGGTCAACGTGAAGATCACAAAGTCTGTGAGCCACCGAAGCTCAATCTCTCCTCACTCCTCTAAAGAACTATAAAATTCCATTTGAATTCTTCACTGGATCTTGCGATCGTGAAACGAAGAAACACACAAGCTAAAGATCGTCAAATGTAAATGAAGTGTTTTTTTTCCCTCGATTTGTGTGTTTGTCCTCCTCCCAAGTCTCTCTGTCACTTCATAACTCGATCAATTCTTCCTAATTTAAATTTCTGTCTCATCGTTTTGTATAGATTTTAATTTTTAATAAGAGAGACTCTTCTCGCGTCACTCTTCGCATTCTCACCACAAAAGTCCACACATTGGCAGAGGGAGCAAGAGAGAGAGAGAGAAAGAGAGCTTTGACGTACATTTTGAAAAGTCAGACAAGAGAGAGAAAAAAATGTGAAATAAAATGTATAAGAAAGAACAAATGGACGAGAGGAAAAAGAAGGAGATGTGTTTAGGAGGAGAAAAACCCAAGCATTGGAGGTTTATTTAAATAAATCAACAGTATGAGTGATGTGTGTTAGAAATGCCTCAAGAAAATGTTCCGTGCATCGAAAATATATTGACCTTTTACTTTGGAAACTAACACGACTCGTGTCTGTGTGAGCTTGTCGTGTTTCACTCTTTCTTTTTACCATCGGGAGATTGAGAAATACCACATAGCAGAGAAGAAATTTAATGCATTTTTCTACGTGAAATTCGCGTTTTTTTTCTCTCCCCTCTTTATGAGAAACAGCAATTTTCTTGGCAGTTGCAGAAGTTGCAAAGCTATGCAGAATATTTTTGTTAAGCCCATTTCGGATATGACCTGAATCATACAATATATTATAGCTTCTGGTATTTCAGAGTTGCAAACTTTGTATGTCTTTTCGAGGTCAACGCGGTGATCAATTTCGAAAATTGTGTAATCATATTGAACCCTATCGCATTCCAAATTTCTATTGAGTGCGCGACGCGCTTAAGTAGGTCCACGAGATAAGATCAAATCTACTATATTGACGTACTCTGGGGAGTAAATTGTAGAATCATCGCTGATCGAGAGTGTCTCTCTATTTAAGATCACCGGAGAACCTGATATTGCCGGGAATCCATAATGGATTATACAGGTTCTTGAATTATTCAAATTCAACTTCTTCACCGTGAGATAAAACAATCCTAAAGATTGTGTGGAATGGTTCGTTGGAAAGTTCTGTAGCAAAACCCTAGTTTTCTCCGGAGGCTCTAACTTAAGTCGTCTCTCCCGGCGCTGAATTTATAGCCGCTCAGCCCTATCTTATTCCGGTATCTTCAGCACAGCAACATCTGTCTTCCCGCGCGCGCATTTCAAGAGGAAATTTCCCATGGTCGATTTGAAGTCTCTCTTTAGGCATTTTTTACACCATCCACGGAATGCACATGCAAGGGAGGCAAAATATATTCCCGTCCGGAGAGGTAAAACCACGTTCCTCGGTATTTTTAGTCTCCGCGCTCAGCGTCACAGTTCAGCTATTTTAATTAGGTGCGTGTAATGACTTTGAAATAGTTGGAATTCCACACGATATGTAACAATAAAGCACATAACACACGGAAGATGCTATTGAATAGTCTCTCTCTGCTAATGCATACATTAGCAGAGAAAATCCGTCTCAATAGTGTCCTGAGAATAACATATATTGTTTGAAGAATAAAAAAATCTCTCCTAAGGAATTCAATTGAGAGGCACAGAAAAATTCGGTCAAGTGCCAAAATGTTGCACAGTCGAGTTGTGATATTATGAAAAGCGCGCGCGGCTTTTTCCGTGGGCGCCGCAACAATATGTTGGTTTTGGCAGTATTATATTTGTGATTTCACTATTTAGTTGCCCATTGCGCGATAGATATATATGAAATGCGGTGTGTATGGAATGCGACAAATACACGCCCGTTTTGGAGCTTTTCCTCGTTCGACACGCGCTCCTAAATTTTGTAATTGTGCGCGCCTTCCCACCCGAAATAATCACTGAAATCGATCGACAAAGTGGATTTTTTTCGCACTGCTGAATCGTGCTTCAACACTCCAAAGGCTAATAAGCATACCAAACTACTGAGTCACAACCTTAGCGAGAGAGAGAGAGAGAGAGCGAGATTTGTGTGTAATAAAATATTGACTGTGAGGGCAAATTGCTGGATTGCTGAAGTCTACTTCCACGATGGCAGACTGGATTGTCTGCTAACACACCCACCTGTTTTGCCAATGACTCTCATGCTTTTCTATCGGACAAAGCATTTGCCCAAATTTGGATACACTTGACCATCGAGTGTGTGCGGAGAATGTCGTGAGAAGAGGCCCGAAAAAGCCATAAAATTTATACTAATTTCATCTCTTCCCCCCAAAAAAGAAACAAACCTCCCCAAAAGTTCCATATAATATCTTTCGCGCGCGCGATTGTGTTGTGCACGATGAAAAATGCCTGTGCCATGAATTGTTGTGTGGCTTCTGTATATGTTCATTAATGAACTTGACGACATTCTTCCTGTTTGAAACATCTTTTTCGATTGAAATTTACGCAGTCTCTTCTCTCATCCAATGAATATCTCGCTGTGCCTAACTGTATGACTTCTCTCTTAATCTGCACCTCTTCATCGTCGAAACACATGAGCATTCTTGCTCGTGTGCCGCGCTGACACAGCATGAAAAAACTCCCTCCCTTTTGGTGAAAGACACTCTTATATACGCGAGAAAAAAATTCCTCTTCCGCCCACATCATTTGCCTCTCTTTACGCGATCTCTCCCGCAGACGCACAATGACGATATCTCCATGAACACAACATCTCAGCTTAATAATGTACGCCATGAATGATCCCTTTTCCTGATATCTCACACACGCAATGTATCAGCGCCGAATCACCACCGAAATAGCGACAATAAACTTGTGACATTTGCAACATCTTATTTATAAAAGACACCACAGACAGAAATACCGCCCAAAATAGGTTCATCGGTTTGTTCGAGAGAGACTTTTAGACGCGCGGCTCGCATCAAAACGAGGTGATTTGTTTAAGGCCCATTTACACGACACATTTTTCCACCGATCCGCGCGAATACAAGCGCTCAATTGTAAGTCGATTCCCAAGTTTGGTTTGCGCTGTGTTGTGATCTTTCTTTGGGGCTCTCGAAAGAAATGCGGTCTCTTCCTATCAGTAATTTTTCTTCAATTCATCTGAAAGCCAGGCGCGCGGGGGACAATGAGGAGATTCCCACACTCAGTATGTCCACTCTCTGGCCATTGTTACAATGTAAGAATCTCGCTCTCTCACTGAGTGGTTTTTCTCTGTGTGTAAATTGCAGGAGGATGATGGTGGGCAAAAAGAGCCAAGAGGAAGGCACATCTTGAACTTGAATTGAAGATTATTTACTTGAGATGCACGAAGTTGTACAACGAGTGTGTCCGGTGAAGAAGTGATTTTTTACAGATGTTAGGAAGAGATTTTTCCCTCGTGAACCTCTTCCTCCGACAGAGAGTGAATCGACGAGACAAACAGAGACAATTCCCTCCGACATTCATTCCATGATAATTAGTCCATCCTCCTACACATCAAAGTCCACTGTTCCGGGAGGCCTGGGAGAGCTCCTTGCACAGGCAATAATTCATGAATTAATTGCCATGATGTTAGAAAATGGTGCGGATTCGCTTCACTTGCGCCCTGTCCACGACAGCCGCGCGCGATGTAATAAAGATTGCCTGATGGTAAAAATGCGGCGAATGACCGGCAATCTCTATAAAAGTGTGGGAGGATTCAAAACGAAATTCCTCAACAATGATGGTCGGCTATTTAAATTAATTTCCCACACTTATCAACTTCCTGTGGTCTCTGTGGGGTTGAACAACGCCTTCCGCGAGACATTCCCTCCTCGGCTGTGCAGACATGAAGACAGTCACTCAGCCTTTTGGATTTCACTAGAATTCATGGTTTGAATTAAATGACAAGTATATATTGAAGAAGCAGGGAAAAAATCCGTTCTGAAAGCTTTCTGACGAAAAAAAAAACAGATCAACACACCCGACATGAATTCCAAATAGCTCAGAGTCTGCCTTTTTCTTCATTGTCTTTCATTTTCTCCTCATGAATGTACTTAGCAATAATAATAGTTTCTGATGTGATACTCTTGAATCAGCGTTCTTTTTTTTCGCCGTATCGCATATACATCTTCCTCTCCATGCTCTCGAAGATGCAATTAAATTTTTCTCCTAAGCTATATTAACAACCGTTAAAATATTTCTCTCTTTCTCTCTCCTGGCTGTCTTTTTTGCCCTCCCCAGACCAAGCGTCTTCATCTTACCACTGTTGGGAGTGTGTGTCGCATTTAGAAGATATCTCCATAAATCGTTAGATTAGAGCTCAACTCTTTTTAATCGTCTGTCGTCGTTCTTTTTTTTGCTTGCTGCTGTTTTAGCAAAGGAGCGGCGAGAAGAGAGTGTAATCTTGTATCGATAAAGTCCACTGGTCTGATATTTCCAGAGAGAAGACTGTATAAATGAAATGACAGTCTCTTGGAATTTTATATCTTGGTCATTCTCGTGTCGTTTTTATTTCTAGCCAGAAAAGAGTGTGTGGACTGTCCAAAAATAGCCGAAGATTGAGCATTAATTTATCAAGAGAGAGGAATTCTGGGGAATTTCCCATCACTGCAGACTTTTTTCAAACTCCAATAATCGCGTTCGCGCGCGCGAGCGAAAAGGAGAATGTTATGGCATTTCCTATGAGGAAGATGATGATGGGGAGAAAACAAAAAAAAAACATGCGAAAGCTCGCGTCTCTCCCGTCAAAACTTTATCAACCATCACGCCCGAGAGAGTTGGGTGAACGTGAAGGGGCAGAAAGTGTTTCAAGTTAATCATTCCGTTTGGGACAATTTCATGATAACACTTTCAATGATTCACTGATAGCGCAGGAATGTTGATATGTTTATTTTCACTCACTTGTAGAAATTTTGTCGCTCACTTAATAGCAGAAAATGTATAATTGTGTGTGCGCGCGGCGTCCAAATGGAATTTCTCAGAAAGTCGCGAAATTAGTGCGAAATCTGCGCGCTTCTCGGAAATCCACTCTCAATCAGTTCGCGATTCTCTTAATTAGATTTTCAAGTATTATTTCAAACACTGATTTTCTCTCTTGTCTCACTGCCTCTCGACACACTCCAAATAGAAAAAGAATATCACTCTGGGCAATTTATAGAGCACTGAAGCGCGCGCTTATCTCAAGACATACAACATAAAAATTGTAAGAAGAAGTAATGAAATTTCATAAATATTGCAATATGAGTGTGAAAATCTGGGTGAATTTTCAATATATTCCACTCATCTCACTTCTGTCCTATTGTGGGACTCTTACAGATATATATGTGTGGCAGTATGTATTTGAAACACTTCAAAATTTGAAGTGAAGTTTATGTAAAAATAGCCTCATGTTGATTTTATAAACGCTTTCGCTCGATTGGAATTTTTATGGTTTGTGGCGTAATGGAATGTCTTATATATATGTGCATTTTGATTTATTGCCACAAGAGAGCCTCTATTCTAGAGGGCAACTCCTCACTTTTCACTCCTTATTTACATACTTATCCGTATGTACAAATCTATTCAAACAATTCTGCTAAATTTACACTGTAATTCGCATATTAGTTCTCTCTCGCAACTTATACTACTGCCTTTTTTATGGCAATGTGAATTTTTCTCGCCTTCTCCACACCAACCTTTTGGGAAAGAAAGTGCGCGTCTTAAATTTAGCACTTCCCGAAATAATGTAACATTCCAAAGACTCTCTCTCACTCTATAAACTAAGCTCTCAAAGTGTCTTGTTTTTAATCCAAAAATAATTTCCTTAGCTGGTAAAGAAGGTCTTTTTCATTCAATGTTTCTTCCTTTGCCAAAATATTGAGACATTACAGAGTCAGAAATTTAACACTGACTGCGTTTAATGTCTTCAACTCGTCAAATGAGACTTTAATTATGCCTTTTGTGGTTAACAAGTTTTTTTAACCCACCGTCGCAATATTATCTGACTGAGTCATTTTATAAAGAGTTTTAGTCTTGTTGGAGACATTTCCTTTGGATGACGAATTTACGGAAAAAGGCCAAAAAGGCACAAAACTAGTCAGTTATCTAACAATCAGCCTTGACTATGAGTCTGACTGGATTTGGCTTTTGGGATTCCACAGCATAATTTCCACAAGTGATATTCTCAATCAGAGAATATAATAATTTAGCCATTCATTTGCACGATCGCATACAGAAATAATAAAAAGGCCTCCCACCCTTGAAATCAATTTCTGCAATCGCTCTCCAAGTGAAGCGTGACTGAGATGAATTGAATTTGATTGAAATAAGATATATTTCATATTCCGCAGAGAGCGAGAGAAGTCTATTGAAAATGTCACGAGGAATTCTTCCCCGTCTATTCATATTGAAAATAGAAGTGCCTCTGAAGTGGTGACATTAATAATGAATATGTATATTATAAATATAAATAAGCCGTCGAAAAAAAAACACCACGATAAAGAGACTCAGTGGTATGCCAAGGTTAGGTTGTTTGTTGGATTAACTTACTAAAATAGTGTTTGTTTTAAATATAAATGACTCGCTTTTTTTCCACATGAGATTCCAACGCAGTCAGATGACTGCTTTTTTTCTCCTCTTGTGTGCTCTTGTGCGTGTGCCTTCACGAGGATGGCATTCCATAATAATAAAAAGTACCCTTTTTAAACTCTGCTCTCATGGTGTATTTAATATACGTATTAATATCTCTCCACTCTTTCTGTGGCCAACAACGACAGACAGAGAATATTTCGCTTCACCTTCATTGAAGTGATTTTACACTTGCTAAAAACCTCATATCTCCTCTCATCTCATTACCATCTCGTGTTCCTCGATCTCTTTTTTTGCGTGCTCCGCTTCTGGCCACCTCTCAAATGCGGAGCACTGGCATTTTCTCATTGTGTTGCCGTGCGTTATGCCGAGGCAAGAGGGAGAACTTTATAAACATCGTAATGACATGGAGAGATATAAAATTGAAATGTGTTCAACATTCCACAGAAATTCTTGCATAACTTATAAATAGTACAACTAAATTGCCTGCGAGTGTATGCGAGAGAGACACACAGAGTCAGTTTTTCAATTGTGTGTTACAATGTCTTCTCTCAACTCTGCCGCTAAAATGCCTTTTCACTCTTTACCAACCATTTTTCCTCCTCATCAGCCTTTTGCGAAATCCCAAACGCAAGCTATATAACAGAAATATTTTCCCCCCCTTTCACTCTCTTCACCAATTGCAGATATACAAAACCATCAAATTTCGCCGATTGCATTGGCGATGAATTGCCATTGGGCTGGGAGGAGGCCTATGACACCATCATTGGCCGATACTATATCAATCACCTCAATCGTGAGTATATTATTGTGAAATTTCACACCCTATCTCCATGCCAAACAATAGAAGAATCGCTCGCGGAGAGCAATAAAATTCACACGCCACAATACACAATTCTCTCCGTCTCTATCGGCCACTATAGAATCAACACAACTCGAAGATCCGCGACAAGAATGGAAAATTGTCCAAGAGGCCATGCTTCGTGAATATCTCAATTCAGCACAGGACGCACTCGAGGCGAAGAAGGAGATCTACGATGTGAAGCAGAGGCGACTCATGCTGGCTCAAGATGAGTTCAACAATCTTAACGCGATGGCCGCAAGTAGAACTAGTCGTAAGTATCCGAACCTAGACCTACTAACCATCTCGGGTCAAGCCTCAACGGGTTCTAAACAATGCGTCAACCTTCTATTTGCAGTTTATTCATCGTCGAGCTCAATTAGTACCAAATTTGATCCTGAACTTCTCAAAGCTGATCTGGCTTTGTCCAAGGAACGAGTGCGACGACTGAAGCGAGAACTAGCGCAAATTACATCAGAGATTTCCTTCACACAGCGCGGCGTGGACACACTCTACAAGTACGCCAACAAGTGCCCAAATCAATCCCACTCCAATCTAACTCATGACTTTCTTCTTTGCCTTTGCAGTGTGGAGCAGAAGCTCAGTGCCCGCGAGAATGGATGCTACAATCTGGCTGAAGTTCAGGCGATACGGGACGAGATGATCAAGATCCAGAAGAATCTCGTGTCTGGCGAGCAGGAGAAGAAGGAGCTGAAGCGCAGTCTGACGCAACTCAAGTACGATCTGACGAGGCTTCAGTACGGCAACGGCAGTCCGGTGGTGTCAGCTCTCAATCTGGCCCAGGATCGCGTCTGTGCCTCATCGCAGACGGATCTCTGTGCGGATATCTTCCCACTGGGCGCCAGATTGGCGGAAGTGGCAAAGACGCGTCTACAGTACGACGAGTGGAAGAAGAGGATAAAGTACCTGCAGCAGCAACTGGCGGATCATGTGGAGAAGATTGAGCCTGGACAGCTGGAATCGGACAAGGATCGATTGCTTCTGATCCAGGAGAAGGAGCAATTCCTCAAAGAGCTCCGCAGCATACCGACGTCGTCGAAGACACCCAAAGAGGTGGCTGAGATCCAGTCCACGTGCCACCAGCTGGAGCAGGAGCTCAACCAGGAGTACGAGTTCAGCAATCAGTGCATAGCCAACAGATTGCGAGTGCATGAGGAAAAGCAGATGCTGCTGACGCAGCTGCAAGACGCTCTGCGGTCCACCAAACTGCTGGAGGAGAGACTGAAGAGCTTATCCTCCGGCAGCACCTTCTCCATCAGCAGTGGATCTAGTCTGGGCTCTCTATCCACCGCCAGCAGCAAGGGATCGCTATCAGGCCTCAGCTTCACGGACATCTACGGTGATCCGCTGTCTACTGAGCCCCAGGTGGACATGGTGGACCTCCAGCGGTGTATCCAGAGGCTCTCTCATCCCTCAGAAGTCTCCTTGTCGCCGCGCAGCAGTCTCTCCATGGAAACTCCTCCGGCGTCACCAATGAAAGACTCCTCCGAGTGTGCCACGAAGGGTGACGAGCCCACGTATGAGAACACGAAGAATCTGGACCTCAGCTCCACTGTGCTGGACTGCATGAGACTGGAGGAGAGGCTGCAAGAGCTGGAATTCAAGCAGAGCATGGGTCTGGCGCCTCAGCTGTCGCCGATCTACGAGAAGCCCTCTCTGCTCGATCTGCCGCAGCAGCAAATGGCCATGTCACGATCATCCTCCGCCTCCAATACGCGCTCAGTCTCAGCCGCCGTGAGCAATGAATCTGTGGCCGGTGATTCGGGAGTGTTCGAAGCGTCCCGAGCTCTGCTGCCCAATCGAGAGGCTGCTCAAGTGCAGATTGGACTGAAATACTCCAAGACGGACAGTGCTCTGCACATTTCACTCGAAAGGGCGAGGAATCTCACGGCTCTTTGTCCTCTGCAGCAATGTCAAATGTAAGTTTACAAGCTTGATATCAAGCTTCAGCAGACACTTTAATTATGCTAATTGTCTTTGCAGGTACTTCAAAGCTGCCCTCCTGCCAAATTCGTCACAAACTCTACGTACAAATAATTTCACGGACTTCCAGAAACCAGTATTTGGAGACAGTTTCTCAATAGCCATACATCTGCACAAAGTATTCACCAAGACTCTCCAGGTTAACGCCATCGCGATATTGGCTGGCCAACGCGAAGAGTGCATTGTAAGAAACCTTTAGAAACTGACTAATTTTCAGGGGTAAAACTGATGAAATGTATTTCTGCCCTTTCAGGGATGCGCTCAAGTGAGTCTGGCGGAATTCAATGCGGATGACGCAACACTCAAGTGGTATAATATCCTCAACTTCCGCTACTTGAACAACCTGGAGACCTTTGAGGTCGTCGGAGCGTGCAAGGAGGAATCCTCGGACGAGTCCACAATCATCTCCTCGCAGACCTCAACACTGACACGCAATCAGGGCCAGGAGGATGTCCATCATGCCGCTCTGGCGATGGAATTGAATCAAAGACTGAACATTAACAGCGACGATGAGGATCAATCCGCTGAGGCGAGTGGCGGCAAGGATGACGATGAGTCGAGCACTGAGGATGAGGATCAGCATGAGTCCACTGAGCAGATGCTGGCGGACTACATGAATGAGGTGCAGAACTACACGCCAGAGATGGCGGACAAGGAGACCAACACCGAGTGTGCGTTCCTACCGGAGAAGGCGCGAAGGAGACTCCAGGAAACTGCAGCGATGTCCAAAGAAACCATTGACGATCGCCTGGTTAAGCGATCACAAACCTTCTCACCAAGGTAAATTGAGCTTAAAGGCTTTAAGGATAAAGCTCGAATATTGATTTTCTTTTCTCTTTCTCATAGCGCTGTTGTCAGCAAGAATCGCATCTGCCGACTCAATCGAAGTGATTCCGACTCAGCCATGCACTTTGGAGCCGCAACACTCCTGCATCCTTTCCAGCGGAACTCAATCGAGCGACGATCGCTGCGATTCCACAACAGACTACCAAAACCTGTGTCCAGTGAGTAGAAGCTTTAAGCTTGTAAAAAGCGCATTTGATCCTCATTTTTGTGGTATTTTTCTCCTTCTAGAAATTCATCCAAGTTCAATTCCACGCACAAGTCTGGATTTAGAGCTCGATCTTCAGGCTCAGCACACGAAACTCGAGACACTCAATGACGAGATCTCTAAATTGAGGGACTTGAAGCAGCGTCTTGAGCAAGCACGAGACGCCAATGATGCTAAAGTGGCCGCCTGGGCACTTGAGAATGAGGACTTCCAGAAGCTGGTCGAGACGGCGGATCCAAACACGCCAGACGACAAGAAGCTGCAGAAGTTGATGCATAAGAAGTCAAAGGAGATCTACAAGCTCAGGAAGACACGCCTAGGCAAGGGACAACCCGACATTGTGTCTTTCAAGTGAGTAAACTTTGTCAAGAAACCATGAGAGATTTTTCTTAAAATCAATGCGTTTGTCTTTGCAGAGAAAAGATGGCTTTCTTCACGCGAATGGGAATGTCAGTGCCTGAATTGCCAACGGAAAATGCATCGAATGAGGACCTAACATTGCCTGACAATCTGCACGGGCCACTGAATCCCTCTCGTCGCAAGAAGATGCCGCCGCCGCCAAGCTATCCGCACGCGGAAGCCGTTCAACTCCTGCACACCGCCGCCGAGATTCACCCAATCCCAGCGCCGCGGACAATCAGCGAGAGCATCGCCGAAGAGACAGAGCCGCCAGATTATGTGGTGGACAGAAACTACGGCGTGGAAGTGTAGGATTTGTGGTGAACTTCATTGCTTCGAGAGAGCCTCAAAGTGCAATAATTAAGATTAGAGAAAAAACGTATCTATTTTACTTTAAGTGTCTCTCATGATGGAAAATTTATCACAACTATTCTTCACAGTATCCAGAACACTGTATTTTATTGCTTCCTTGACTCTGTGATTTTGAAGTAGCATGAACATTTCTCTTAATTTTTTTAAAGAAAAAAAAATAAAAGGAAAACATTTACAATGGAAACTTTAAGCGATTGACTATGTGTCTGTTACTCTATGTCTATTGATAGTTTTTTTTTACATATTTGTGTGTGAAATCACTGCCTGAAAAATTGCTTCTTTATTCACTTATGAGTTTATTTTTTATTGCTCTTCTTATCGACTTCCAAAAACTGCTTCAGATTTTAGTAGCGAAAGAGAGAAACACTATAAAACTTGTGTCTCTTTTTTGTGGTGTGAATAAAAAAAAAAAGGAATTGTGAGAGAGATAACTTTGTTGTTTTGGCCACCCCACCGAGAAATGTTATATATTTCACTAAATCTTTTCTCTATATGTACTTTTAAATTAAGTCTCAAGCAACAACTGGTGGGATTAACTCGTTAGCAAAACTTAGATGTGGAGAGAATTATCAAGGAAATGTTATGTTTGTCAATGAACTAGTTTGTAGAATTCACTATTGAATAGTAAGAAATTGAATTATATGATGAAGAAAAAAACATGCAAGTAAAGAAAGTGCCTAATTTGTTGCAAACTAACTGCTAGGAATAGACAAAAAAGAAATTAGATAGAATTTTATTATTGCAAAGTAACGAAAATAAATAATAGAATGGTATAAAAAGAAAACTAAATGTGTCATAGTCTCAAGAATTAATAAAAAAGAATAATAATAATAACCTGTCGATCGAGGAAAGATTAAAGATTTATAATCTATTTTAACTTCTAGTTCTTCTAAGGCTTAACATAATTAAAACAAGGAATAAAAAAATCTGTAGAAAAGAGAAGAGATAATTTAACACACAAAGAAATATTTTTTGAACAAAATATTCTTAAATATTAACATAAACGCAAAAAAATAAATGTTCTTTTCTAATTTATAATGTTGATTTTAGTGAATTTTTAGATAGACTTTTTTTCAAAATGTATTTTAACGTGAGAAATTGCAATTGAATAGAAATTTAAGTAAAAACACACAAAACGAACACTTTACTGTAAATAGTTTTTTTTTCTTTTCTAAGGTAAGAATTTATTGAAATATATTCAAGAGAATAATCGAAAAAATATGTTTTATTTCTCTGATTTTCTACTGCTTTTTTCAGTCATGAAAAATTTCCTTTTCAGTGGGATTTTATAGCATGATTCGAAATTCCCAATACACTTTGTGGTGAATAAAAATTGCGCCAAAACTTCAATTTTTCACTGCTTCTGCGCCATCTCTATATTTATAGCAAACGAGTTGGAATTGATTGTCAAATGTCAGGAATGTGAAATTCACGAGTCATGAAATAAGATTTGTTTATCGTTCTAGAATAAAATACAGTGAGAAAATCACAGTTGATTTGTGAAATACTGGAAGACAAGTTGCTGGACTTGAGGTGAGTTGACGACAATTAGAGAAAAGAGTGCAAATTCAGTGGGATTTCCGTGGAAAATCATTACTTAACAGGTGTCTGTTTTTCGTGGCAAAAAGAATCAACAAAAATTTAGTGAGAATAATTCTAGCTGGGAAAATTGGGCGGAATAGGATGTCCTCAATGCCCTCGAGCCCAGAAAGGTTTTGCTGAGCTTCTTTGAAGCGCGATTAATCATCACTTTCCCATAAATTCTATTTCAAATACTTTCTTGGACAATTATTAAGAATATCTAAGCAGAAAAAAAATTCCTCATTCACGTTCTATTGAATTTAAAGGCCAAAGATCTGAAAGTAAATAAAACTGAATAAAAACAGTGGATTTTTTCTTGTGCCAAAAAAACAGAGAATTAGACTTCAATGTCACTTTATAAATATTTCTTTATAATCAATAACTTCTTTAGTTCCCTCGCACACACCTATTGAGGAGGCGCGAAACGGTGAGAAAAGAAGTCATAAGGACGGCTTTTCAAATACACACATTTTGGATATTTTTAGCAAAAAGACTGTCTTTTCCCTCCACCAACAAGTTTTCGCGCATAATTTTCGAGAAACACGAAGAAATATCGCATGAAAACCTAACCGATTTTCCCAACTAGTTTACATCGCGACTCTGCCAGAGCACAAGCAAGTCAATTCGCCAAAAATTGTTACATCTTCTTCACATTGTGCTGCAATTAGCATTATTTTCCTCAATCCAACAAGTGAAGAGGAAGAGATTTATTTAGTGTGAATATTTTTTAGGTGTGTGAAATTCTTTTGTGCAATGATTGTGAAGGAAAAAAAATATACACAACAGAAGAAAAAGTCTAAGACAGTTTTCACCCTCACTTACATAACCAAGAAGGGGAAAAAATTTCCATGGCAGACATTCAAAAGGACTCACACATTTCTCTGCCACTCTTTTTTTCTTTATTATCAACAACACAAAATATCCAAGCAAATGACCAACGAAGTATTTTTGAGACAGACGAAAATTTTGGGGAAAAATACTCCTTGACGTCACATGTGTTGGAAGACGGAAAAGAAGTGTATATAAAATAGTATAATTAATTGCGATTATAGAGAAAAATGTTCGTATTCTATGCGCAGCCAAATTCAAACACTCTCGCATTATTTCTTCGATTTCAACGGTGTGAATTCTCACTGCAAGTGAAGATGAGGAAGAAAATTCACAGAGAGAGAGAGGAATTTATGTGATTTATCTGAAGAAGTTGAGCTTCTAAAATTGTGCTTGTCGAATTAATTCACCGTCTTTTGCAATTAATTTAATATATAATTCGCAAATAAGATGAATAATAACACCACGCTTTGGCTCATCATTCATGCGAAGATGTGACAAAGTCACATTGGAGAATATAATAAGTTGATGCTGGGCTTTTAATAGATAAATTGACGCATTGCGAATTTATCATTGATAAACAAAAATAATTCACACACAAAAAACACTGTTCTTGAAATTTCTCTATTATCGTTGTTTTTTTTCCTTGCTTGAAAAGTAGTAAAAATTAAAAATAATTCATCTTATGTTTCCGCGATCATAAATTCAGTCAATTTTCACTTTGAACATTTCGTGTCACTGCAAATTGCGACATGATCGTTAAGATTCTGGATTCTATACACCTCACAGAGACGCGCATTCGCTGATCTCATTAATGTGAAATGTTTTCGGGCCATTTTAATGTATTTTGGCAGAGGGAGAGTGAGTGAAATTTGAAGCACCTTTTCTGTGATTGCTTCTCAGTCTGTCCAGACGCGCACAAGTCATATTTTAATACATATATATATTGTGCACATTCCTCATTTATTAATAAATGTTCACATCTTCACTTGAACAGATCTCAAGAGTCAATTGGACACACGTCTATTCACGGTGTAACTGCAGGAGTGAGAGTGAAGTGTGGAAGATGGACGACGACGGAAGCCACAAAGTGGAGCTCTATATATACGATCTGACCCAGGGCATGGCAGCCGTCATGTCCTCGATGATCTTGGGCCGGCACATCGAGGGCGTTTGGCACACTGGAGTCGTTGTCTTCGGCCGGGAGTACTTCTTCGGCGCCCAGGGCATCCAAGCCTGTCCACCGGTGAGTTTGTCTAGCGATCAAGATCGATCGCCATGTGATTTATTGGCGTGCTTGTAAACAAATCACGCCGAGAAGAGAGCGGCGTGCATATCGAAATCTCGTAAAAGGTGAACAAACGATGTGTCGGCGTCTAATTATAGTGTCTCGCATCAGGATTCTATTTCGGAAGTCTCTCGATCGTCGCGAAACATGACAAAATGTGCAAAATCTCACTGTGAGAATTTTCTCATCACCTTCTATCGCCGTATTTATCTCGTCACTTTTTTTGTCTACCTCCTCACATTCAAAAGAAAACACCTCCCGCGAGGAATGCTGCTATAATAAATTTTGTGTGAATTTCTGCGCGCATTTCTTCAGCATGAGAGATTCTCTCTCAGTGGCGGAAAAAATGCTGCATCACATCATGGATCATTGATATTTTTCCTTCTGAATAAAGAGAGAGAGAGAGAGAGAGAGAAGAAATGAGAGTGTTGATAGGGAAAAAAAGAGATACTCGTGTATGCGATGGGCTATAATTAGGAACACTCCGAAGGAATGTCGTGGCTTCGTGTCTCTAAAATAAACGGGAGAGAATTCATTTTCCACCGCTGGCCAAGCAAACGTTTTCACATCGAGGAAGAACTTTCACACAAAGGAGTAATTCTTTCTCTCACAAAAGTTTCACTTTATTTCTCCCAGAGTGTGAAGGTGAATTGATTTTATTTGGTTCTTTTTGAGCAAAAATTACCCACTTAATAGCTACATTTATCGAATAGTTCATGTGTAATTTCACATTCTTGCAGTATCGGTTTAGTTTTCGTGAATACGCGAAAGATTTGCCGATTAAATTCTGGTGGAGTGTGAATATACAACTTGGTGTGAGATATTTTTAACGAGTCTCCGGACATCACATTTTCAGGGCGGAACCGTTTTGGGAGCACCGCAGAAAGTTGAGAAAATCGGCGAGACTTTCATCCCATTTCAAGTCTTCAAGGACTACGTGCGTGGCTTAGCCGAAAGCACCTTCAGGTGAGTAGATGCTCAAGATCACCAGCGCATGACCCCATCATCGTCATGCACAGCCATATTTTGAGACAGTGACTCAGAGACAGTGATTTGTGCTTCCACAGAGGCTCCTGCTACAGTCTGCTGAAGCACAACTGCAACACATTTTCCAACGACTTGTGCCAGTTCCTCTGTGGCATCTCCATCCCCAAGTACATCTTGGACCTGCCGCAGGAGTTCCTCGGCACGCCTCTGGGCCAGACCTTAGGACCACTGATTGAGAGCATAGGCGCCAGCGAGAATACGCAGCACTTCTCATTCGAACCGCAAATCGGTGCTCGTGAGCCAAGTCCGGGCTTTGATGAGCTCAACAGTGAGATAGAGCAGGCACGTCTGCAGTCCTTAGCGCTGAACGAGCGTCGCAACACCATCAAGGAGAAGATTGCCAAGAAGGAGCGCAAGAAAGAGAAGAAGAAGCGCAAGCATCACGCCAACAGCAATTCAGAGAGTGATCACAACTCAAACACCGGCATGTCTGAGGTGGAGGCCAATGCGGAGGTGAATGGCGCCACGACGAATGGCGACGGAGCCATTCCGTCTGAGATGCTGCCATCCGAGAAGGTGCTGGAGGATGAGGCCAGAGAGAAGCGCGAGGAGGAGGAGCGAAAGCGCCAGAGAGATCCTCCGGTGGTCTTCAATAACATCGATGTGAGTTCAATTTTCAGCTCATGGTTTTCCTTTGTTGCGCATTGACCCAAATGTCCAAATTTGCGGTCTGGTAAACAAAACGGCATTAACCCAAATACAATCTCTAATAATTGCAGCCAAAAGTGGAGCTTGAGTCCCTCGTGAAGCTGCTGGACGGTAAATTGTCCAAGGACGATGAGACTTCCATTGAGGAGCTGCATCAGTATCTGCTGGAGGGCGAAGGATCGTGGGCTCTCAGCGATGGCTTCCTCGTCTTCGCCGAGCGTGTCCTCCGCGATCCGGGCATCTCGACAGAGACGCGAGTTCACCTGCTTCGAGCTCTGGCCAATGCCGCCCTGAAAGACGATGTGATCCTGCTTTTGCACCAAGACAGGCGCGATCATGTGCTCATGAACTACGCACAAGACATCGATCGTCACTCTCCTGAGGAGCAACAGGCGCTCGCGCTCTTTGTAAGTCTGTTATTTGTGAAATTTATGCATCAAATGCTTAACATTTCTGTGTCTCTGCAGATGTGCAATTTGTTCGAGAACTCCAGCTCTTCCGAGTGGCTGCTGTACATCTCCGAGTGGACTTACAACGGTGGCCAGACATCGAATATTCGCGCCTCGACGAAAGTGGCGGTTCACTGTCTCTTGGCCTCCTGTCCCACCCTTCAGGATCTGGGCACCGCCATCATCCACAACTTGGCGTGCAAGGAGGTAAAAACCGTGGTCTGTATCGCTTCTTAGAAATATTCTCACTCATCCCGCGAGAATCCATGCAATCTGCTCTGCTGTCGTGGTTAAAATGTTTTGATAATTGTGAATGAAGATACTTTGGAGGGTGAATTTTTATTTCCACAGAAACTCCATCGGGCTAAAAAGCTTCGTCAAATGCTACCCAAAGGATCACTTTCCAAGGTATCGTGATCTAATGAACTGAAGAAAATTTTATTGTTGTGGCTTTCGCACTATAACAGCAAGCAGATTCAATGGATATTCTCTAAAATTACCTATCAAACTCAATCGCCGTACAAGAATGTTTATCATCGTGTCTTTTTCTCTCTCTTTTAAGGTGTTTGACGATGTTGCTGTTGAGTTGGCGATGGCTATTCTGCAGTTCTTCAACGCCAAACCCAATGAGGAGCATTTATTCAGAACAATCAAGGCTCTCGCTCGTTTCATAACGGTGAAATGCACTCTTTAACACCCTTAATATCCTCGAAAATAATACAAATTTCTCTCTCTTCAGGTTTCGCCTGATGTCCCACAGCTTGTGCAGATGATTGGACCAAATCCGTCCACTTTCAAAGGCGCCAGTGAACGTGTTGATGAACTAATTGCACAGGTTGCGAAGAAGATTCGTTGAAATTAACCCGGTTTAACCAATAAAGCGTGAAAAATACAAAATAGACATAAATTCTCCCTTAAATCATGATTCTTCTCTGTTAAAGGAAAGACTTTATCTTGCAAAATGTTAGTGAATTACGTGAGTTTTCTATGCTAAGTTTATCTTTCTTCCCTTTTTTGTACATAAAAAGTACCTTCAAATATCCCTTAAAAAATGAAGTCTCTTTTCAATTTGTCACACTTTTTATATCAATTGATCTTAATTTGTAATAAAAATTACTGAGTGTTAAAGTGTGGGGCTTTTTTTCTTCTTCTTCAATTCATCACTTGACTCGATGATGATATTTTACGCAGCAATTATTGATTCAGTTCCCATTCTGTGCTTCAACTTGATTGATTGATTTCCGGAGAGAGAGAAAAGAAGGCTAAAAGTCCCCTTCAATGGCAATCAATGGTGAATCAATAGGTGTGGAAGAAAGAATTGTAAATGATAAGAGGGGAACTTGTATGAGCATCACTTTACAAATCACTCCTGTATCGCCTATCTTATCTAATCTGGCCATAACTTTTCAAACAATTCAGCCAGCAGCAATTACACACGGATACTCATCGTCACCGGATTCAGTCGTCTTCTGCTCCAGATACAATTCACAGACCTCATCGTCTGTGGCCCAGAGCAATCAGTCTTTCGAGAGAATTGCGTGCTAGGCTGAGATTGAAGTGATTGTGCTGTTTTGGGTTTTTGCCTCTCCGCGCGCGCAGACATGACGTCACGGCGCTAGTGAATGAAGAGGAAATCATCATAGAGTGGACGACATTACGAAAATTCCTATTATGCTGGAAGACGAGGAGATTGAATGGCAATTCGGACTCATTATCGCAATTTAAGACCTCCATTCTATTCCACTGAAATATGTTTATCGCAACAATTTAAGTCGCGCTCGTCAACACATAAAAGCCTCTCCTCTTCCTCACCATCTCACGAGATAAACAGCCATTTTACGGGAAATTCTGATAAAAATTTCGAGATCGCAGTGATTTATCAGTCTCACACTACACTTTTAGTTCCCCTCGAGACGTTCATCTGATAACAGAGACACTTGCACAAAGCTAATCACTCACATGGAGGCAGACCCCGAGACAAGTACTTAGAGGACCATCAGTTTATTTGTATAGAAATTCGTGACGTTTTGACTTATATTGTGTGAACTTGTTCTTGTGATCCTGTGATCTTTGGATACTCGTTATTAATATTAGCAAAAAAAAATTTCCATGATCGTTAAGACATTACATAACGCCCATTGTGATCTTTTCCCCGTCTTTCGTTCCACCCTCTCTCCTCGCTTAATACAAACATTTTAAGTGTAATCTGTTATAGATATGAAGACAGTAAATTTAGTAGGTAAATATTTGTTGTGCATTCTTAAAAAAAAAAATATTTATAAGAAACTCAATTGAGTGACCTTCTTGAAATCACACAAATACAGTCTCAATTGCACGCAAAAAGCCTGATAAATTCACTATTCTTTCGCCATCCATCCAGTGTCCGATGCTGAGGAGACGGCAAGACTCAAGAATGTCGGATCTACGCCACGACCGTCATTCCTTCGACGCGGATCTTTAATCCAGAGGCGCGATCACAAAGTCAAAGCCTTCCTTTTGCGGCGCATTCACATTCTCTCGTGGATTCGAGACTACAATGCGAAGACGGCGATATCGGACTTGATAGCCGGAATCACTCTCGGACTCACGATGATCCCTCAAGCCATAGCCTACGCCGCCCTGGCCAATGTACCCTCACAATACGGCCTATACTCAGCCTTCGCCGGGAGTTTTCTCTACGTGCTCTTCGGCAGCATTCCTCAAGTCTCCATCGGACCGACAAATCTGATGGCTCTGCTCACTCTGCAATTCACCATGGATAAACCTGTGGAATTTGTCGTGATTCTGACCTTCCTCGCCGGAGTTATGGAGTTTCTAATGGGAGTTCTGAAGCTTGAATTCCTGGTGGAATTCATATCAGTTCCAGTTACAACTGCCTTCACAACGGCCACTTCGTTGATCATCATATCATCGCAGTTGAAGGGGATTTTAGGCATTAAGTACACAGCCAAGGGCTTTGCTGACTACATCATTGGATTGTTCAATAGATATTCCGAAATTCAATTGGGCGATAGTCTTCTGGGGCTCTGTTGCATCATTGCTCTGCTAAGTCTTCGAGTAAGTTTGTTATATTGTTGAATCTTACACTTAATTTAATGAATTTCTCAATTCCAGTTCCTCAACAATATTCCAGTGTCCACAAACACTAAAGCTGGGATTTGTCTGAAGAAATTCCTTTGGTACATTAGCATATCCCGGAATGCCATCACTGTCTTGATCACCTCAACAGTTGCCTACCATTGGATAATGCAAGCCGATGAGGTGCCTTTCAAGCTATCCGGGAATGTTGAACCTGGAATTCCCACCTTCCAATTGCCACCCTTCAGCATTGACTACAACAACAAGACGCTCAACATCCTGGAGATTTGCTCAGAACTCGGCTCAGGGATCATCGTAATTCCACTCGTGGCTGTGCTGATGAATGTGGCAATCGCCAAGTCATTCAGTAAGACTCTCGAGCCTATTTACAGAAGATCTAAATGACCAAATCCTCTCACTTCTCTCTTCACAGCATCCGGAAGGATAGTTGATGCGTCACAGGAGATGTTAACTCTCGGCATTGTCAACATTATCGGATCGTGCTTCAGCTCAATGCCCGCGTGCGGAGCTTTCACGCGATCAGCCGTCAGTCACGCGAGTGGCGTGCAAACACCCATGGCAGGACTCTACACAGGGATAATTGTGGTCCTGGCGCTCAGTCTCCTCACGCCATACTTCGCCTACATCCCAAAAGCCACTCTTGCAGCCGTTCTGATCTGCGCTGTGATCTTCATGATCGACTTCAAGCTGGTGTTGAGGTTTTGGCGGGAAAACCGGCGAGATTTCTACTCGTGGTGCGGCTGCTTGATCGCCTGTCTAGTTCTCGGCGTTGAGATTGGACTTCTTGTCGGTGTTGCACTCACGTGCTTCCACTTGTTATCAATGTGGGCCAGACCGAAGACCACAGTTAAGGTTGAGGAGGTAAATATTGCGTTATGCGCGAAGACAAACACTCAGAAAGTCAATTAATCACTTCTTCGTCTGCAGCTCGATGGGAATCAGTACATTAGGATCACACCGAATGCTGGACTCTACTTCCCTGGCATTGATTACCTCCGCGAGAGGACGAACAGAGCCACAGCGGCAGCGGAATTTCACGTTCCCGTTGTGATTGATTGCAGCAAATTCACGGGATTGGATTTCACATCGGCCAAGGGAATTGGAAACATCGCCGGTGATGTCAATAAGCACAAACAGCTCCTGATTCTGCAGAACCTCGAAGTATCCCTGCAGAAGTACATCGACATGAAGCACGATATCATTTTCTGCAACAAAGACAGCAAATTGCAGGAGATTTTGACCCAAGAAGGCATTCGCAATGGCACAATTCCTCTCATGCAACACATCAGAGCCTCAATAGATCTGGGATACAAAGTGGATCCGCTGATTAAAGTTGACGATAGTCAGCTAGTCAGGCGCGAGTAAGAGATATGATTAGCAATAAAACACTTAAAGACGATTTTAAGGGAAAAAAAATACCGGATTGTAAAGAAATTTTCCAGCACTTTTGTAACTCGTGTGCTTTGGTTTCTTGATTCTAGACAACGATAGCGCACAATCAGTAACAACCGCCAATCATCGTACATTGCTTTTCCATTGAAAGGCGCGTGTGTGATAAGATAAAAAAGACGCCCAAAGGAAGTCATTCAATTAAATTTCACCGCAAAAGTTCTAATTAAAATAGTTTTTCTTGCATCATCGCCCAGTCCGGGGCATTATGACAGTGCGTGGCAATTTTTCCGCGCCCCAGAATTGTGAGAGAAGAGTGAAAAGTTTCCCCTCAGCATGAAAATCTCCCGCCAAAATGCAGCAACACATCCCTCCCAGCAGCCTCAGCAGTGCATGCTGCATCAGAGCCAGAGATGCAGCTCGAGCTGAGATTTAGTCCTCAGCGGAACTCCAGAGCAATCAGTTGGATAACCATCGAGAGTGAAGAAGTGAAAAAGTGAAGACTTTCTTGTGATCAACACTCAAATCATGGATTTCCACGCGAATTGACGAAGAATTCGCGCATTCTTTGCAAGAAATTCTCTGAGAATCTCTCCAAACTCTTCAACTGGCCTGATTTTCTTTTGCAACATTTCTGTCTCACTTTTTTTTCATTTGGTAAATTGCACATTTGCAAGAATTTCCATGAAAGTCGCGTTATGTAATGCTGTAAATGGGAGAAATCGCAAACGAGATCAAAGGGCAATTTTCGGGGTTTCCATTGGAAAGAATAGTGCAGAATTGTCTGAAATTATAATTGTGCAACTCTCACAGTAACACAGTGCATTCAAACTGGATTGTGTGAATTTCCGGAAGACAACCCGTCGCGGCTCAACACTTTTATTGAGATGTACACTTCTTCATCTGCACTAAAAGCCGACTAGAGCCACTGTACAGTGGCGTGTGAGATTATCGCTACACACGCGCTTTCTGAACACACTTGAGATTCTATGTAATAGAATGAATAATTTAATTCAATTGCAACCATTTTCATATTCTCACATTAGAATAGAATTGCTTGAGGGCGTGTTAATTCATTACAGAATCTAAAACATGTAATTTTCACACTTAAAACATCCTTTGACACATATTTTCCTTATCAAAAGATCATACAAATATTCTTTAATCATCGTGAGACTACAAAAAGAAACATTCTTCACGTTATTTTACGTACATTGTGATGCTCATAGTTTCACTTTCATTTGAAGTTGAAACAATTCACGATTTTTTTCCGGAACACTTTGCAAAATGTCGATTTTTCACACGCATTGAAATGCATCTCAAAAGGTATTTTGAGAGAAATAACAACCCTCAATTATATTGGCAAGAGAAACATTTCAAAATCGACACACACAAGCCTCAAGTCTCGTGCTTTTTTTCTTATTTTTTGAGGACAATACATTGCACAAGATCGCATAAGGAATAATTCGGGCGAATTGCAAATGGATGGAGTGCAATGGAAATTTCGTTTGGCAGTGTAATAAAGCGTGGTTATTGTAACTTTGGCGCGCGCAACGATATTCACACACAGTGCAAAGTGAGAGTTTTTCAATGCACTCCTATTAATTGCAATCGCAAAGAAAACCAGCAGCATATCTATTGCATTATGTGACTCTGTTGGGAGGGAAATGTTGGATGCAGAGTGTAAAAAAGAGCATAGATAGAGTCTCATAGAGTAAAAGACTTTCACGCGACTCTCTTGGAGATTCAATTTTGGGTTACGAAATCGCAAACATTTCTGCGGGAAATGCGCGAAATTTTAACTTTTAAGCATCAAATTTAGTCAAGCTTTCACACGAACATAATTCATCTTTCCGCGTGCAGAATTGTACTTTGATCATCATCTTGAGTTGAGGATCTTTGCTGAAGAATGGAGGCCGAGACGGAGATTTTTATGAACAACAACAACACGGATGATGACAGAAATTACAGCAGCATCAGAGAATTCTATCGAGACGGCGTGGTTTTTGTGACTGGTGAGGAAATTAGTGATATTCTCCGGAGTGTGATCTTCAGCCTGCTTTCATTATCTTCCAGGCGGCACGGGTTTCCTCGGAAAGGTCCTCATTGAGAAGCTCCTCTTCAGTTGTGATGACATCAAAGCCATTTACGTGCTCCTCAGATCGAATCGCGGTCTCACCAGCGAACAGCGCTTCAAAGAGTTCGTGAAAAACCCAGTGTTTGATCGCGTACGGGCGCGCGATCCTCTCGCTCTTGACAAAATGACCTGCATCGCTGGTGACATCAATGAGATGTCGTTTGGCTTGGACGAGACGAGCATGACGAAGGTGATGGAAAATGTCACAGTGGTTTTTCACGTTGCCGCCACAGTGAAATTCAATGAGAGTCTGAGGGATGCCGCGTGTCTCAACACACTTGGCACGCAGACAATGATGGATTTGTGCTGCAAGATGAAAAAGCTGAAGAGTGTTGTTCACGTGTCCACAGCCTACAGTAATCCAGGATTGAAGTACGTGGGCGAGACTGTGTACGCGACCAAAGGACCATTAGATAAGGACACGTTCATCAAGTGCATCAAAGTACTACCAAAAGAAATCATAGATTCATTCGCAGATCGATTGCAGGTGAGTTAATTTGAATCATTTGCTCAGTATTTCAGCTATTTCACCTCAAATATGCTTGTGTGACTTTCCAGGGAACGCATCCCAACACCTACACGCTGACCAAATCCATGGCTGAGGAAGTGGTCGCAGAGTACACGAATAAAATCCCCGTGTGCATAGTGAGACCCTCAATCGTGACGGGCTCCATTAAGGAGCCTTTCCCCGGCTGGGTGGACAATGTGTACGGCATCACTGGCATCATGATGGAGATCGGCCGCGGCACCATCAGCAGCATCATGTGTGATCAGAAGTGCATCATGGACCTCATTCCCGTGGACATCGTCAGTAACACCCTGATAACCGCCGCCTGGGCGAACGTGTGCAACTACAAGAAGAGCTCCATCACCGTCTACAACTGCACATCTGGCCAGATCAACCCCGTCGGCTGGTATGACTATGGCAGAATCACGGAAAAGTGGGCACGGATAAATCCCACCAAGTACGTGATGTTGTATCCCGGCTTCAGCTATCGCACAAATAGGCTGATGCACAAGATTGTTGAGGCATTTCTGCACTTCTTGCCAGCCTACATCTTCGACATTATAATGCGAATGCAAGGCCTGAAGCCCATCATGATGAAGATCGCGAAGAGATTCCAGGCGGCGGCAAACACAGGAGAATTCTTCGCAATGCACGAGTGGGTGTTTGACAATGGCAACTTTCGGCAACTCATGCGAACGGCAAAGGAGGCAAAGGATGGCGAGGAGTTCAACTGCGACATGACGAATATGGATTGGGACTCTTACGTCGAGTCCTACATGCTGGGCATCAGACAATTCGTCCTGAAAGACGGCCTGGAGAGCATGAAGAAGGCAAGGAAGAAACTTAACAGGTAGAGAAATCACTGAAATCACTTCTACTCTATCGTCATTATGAGCTTTTGTGTGCTTCTCTTGCAGACTCTACTGGTTCAAGCGTGTCCTCCAACTGGGATTAGCTTTCCTGCTCTACAATTTCATCTTCAAACCAATATTCCAACGCATTTGATAACATCATCATCATCATCATGAAACCCTTCAAACTTGTGTTGCAATATAGCTTTAGTTAGTCTCTTCTTAGGCCATGTGTGACGAAAGTTGTCACACACTATAGCAAGAAAATCCATTGAGAAATCCTTGGTAAAATTATAAAATAAGTGACTTTTTCACGCCACAAAGTGTAGGTAATTTTCCCTGGTAGCCATTAAAGTCTTTTATTAATTTGTTGCAATCGCACAACGTACAGAGAAAAAGAGAAATATTGTAATGGGAGTTTTCAAATAAAGCTTTCTCACAACCCATATAGATTCAATTGAGTGAAAATCTTTTTCTCCTCTCTCTCTCTCTATCTTCTCGATGAAATTGCACACATTATCGATCATAAATATTTCGCAATTGACTGGGGCAAAGTGAGAAGGAATCTGGATCAGGTAAGGTATTAATTCACAAACCCAATATACGCACCATTTAATGAAGATGTTGAATGTTGCAATAATTTTTTGACATGCTTTTATGTAGAAAGTGTACATATTTGTCATATAATTAGATATGTGACAACTGGTTTTTTTCTCCTCTATATATATATATCGACACACTGTTTGAGAGGAGAGACTTTAGACTAATGACAAGTAGGAGAGAAGGATGAAGGAAAAGTGCACGCCATTAACATTACTCTGTGAGGCAGCATAAGAAATCACTGCATTATCGTATTTCCGTGCGCATGATATCCAATATAATCTCATTTCTTTTTATTGCACCGCGCGCACTTGTGTGACTTTATACTCTACTAATTCAGTAATTTTGTAATTTGTCAGCAATTAATCCGCTAAAAGCCTGTCTGTTTTCCAAATGGAAAATAAATACACGTCATCACCTAGCCTAATGAATTACATAAAATAAATTAATCTTCGCCTCTTTTTATCACTTTGTAGACGAGCGCAAAAGCCAAAAAGGAGATCAATGGATCAATAAGGAAATTTGGAAAAAAATTCCACCAATGCACTTTTTTTCTCTCCCTCATTTACAACTCCTTTTTCTTCTTCTCCTTTATTTAATGCGTCGTCCACACAAATGGTTCTAGTCTGTCCTCGATTTCCAGAAAATTATTGAGCACCTCCGCACTGGCGATGGTCTCATTGAGAATCGCATTGCATCTGCTCAGCTGTTGCGAAACACTGTGAAGCTTCGCAAAGTGCTCAGCATATGTGGAAAATGTCTTTTGTCTCTCGCACATGACGCCGTGCATTCTGCCAATCTCACCATCAATCTGCAAGGATAAATGCTCAGATGATCCTCAGGAGGAGTCATGAAAATGCCCTCAAAATACCTCTTTCACCTTCGCCGTGAGCTGAGCCTGATCGGCCGCCACTCGATTGGCCATCACACTGTAGTGCGCCTGAACACGACGACACATGTTGTTGAGATGAACAGGCTGCAGTCGCTCCATCACTTCCGGATCACGATTGGCTGGCAACGACAGCGTGCCACGCATCACAGGCAAGAACATAGGAATGCTCTGCAAGAAATCACCCACTCAATCAGCTTCAATTACCGCATGTTGCAATGTTGCAATTGCCGGAAAGCCCAGGGATTATCAACAGACAGAATTTTCATTACTTCTTCCCAACGAAATACCGTCGCGTTAATCACTTAACCCCCTGATTATTCACATTACACACTAAGAGGTGAATAATAGTGTCGATCTCGGTTCACTTGTATTTCGATCTGTCGATTATTCAATCAATATTCCTTCAATCATTAATCAATAACTGTACTGAGTTTTCAAAGTGTTTAAAGGTATTGTAAAACTGAACAAATTTTTACTATATAAAATGCTATTTTTATGGAATTAAATTATTTATTTAATTTCGTATCGATTTACCGAATTATTCAATTTAATTTACTCAAGATTCACTGTAAAAAGCCACTTATCCACCCCTTGAATGGACGTACGATGTAATACAGAATTTCAACTCTGAGTATTTGCATGATAAATTGCATTACGAATTCACAACTGAAATCAACATGAACATCAAGTGCGAGGGTGAGAGCTTTAATTAAAGCAACAAATCAAGCATCGATTGCACAAGAACTACAATATAATGACACCGAAAATATTCCATTGAAAGCGAAGCAGAGACATCACAGATGAATTAGTGCTTAATCTAAATTAGTAATTTACTTGCAAATTACAAACGCATTTAAAGTGGGTGATTGAAGGAGAGGAAAAGCATGGAAGTGGTGGGGGAAAAGTGCTGCAATCAGACACACACTTAGCTTTTAAGCATTATCTCTCTGTCCTCTGGCATCAATTAGAGAGACACTCTCGCGAGAAAAGCCATCGCATTGAACTTGCGAAAAGAGACAACAAATGCAGAGCATCAATGAAGGTGGATTCGATCGTTATGGTTGGCTTTTATGCTGATGTTTTTCTTTTTTCGAGTGGAAATGTCACAAATAAACACAATATTTTGTAATTTCAGCATGTGTAAACATATAGTGCGGTATTGGCAGAGAGTGAGAGATGTAAAGTGTTTTTGTGAGAGTGGGAAGTGCATCAAGGTTGCAAAAGCACTCAATCTTCCAGGCCAAGAAATTCCCAGAGTGCGTCTTGTGGAGTGAAATAGATGGCTATACATATTCGACATGCCATCGTCGTCGCCGTTTGGCTACTTTGCATGACAGGCCTCGTGGTTTGTGTAGGCAGGCCTTTAATAACAATGAATGGAAAAATTATATCATTCCGTCTTGTTCTTTTTATTTGCGTGCATTGCCAAATTGAGAAAACTGTGTGGACTCTCGACATCTCAGATTTGCCATCGACCGCAATTTTCGCCCAACTCAAGCGCGCGCGTCTCAGTGTCAGTTCGATCGTTCGTGTGATCTGTTAGTTTTGCTAGCGCAGAGGAAGTGATTTTTTGCGCCCAAAACCTCTCTCTCTAAACCTTTTTCTTTATTTTTGGATGAAAGTGAAAGGACAGTGAGTGCGAGCGAGTGACGAAGATGATCAACGGGAAATTCTTCACAGGACTCACGGATAAGATGATGCGCAGGAATGGCAGTGGTCCCAATCGTCAGGAGTCTCACATGTACTGGCCAGATGAAGCCACAACACCATCTGTTCGTGAGTCATCGCACAGAGAAACCGTCTTGGCCGCACGACGCAGACCATCGGACACGCCATCCACTTCACAGTGGAACAACAATGCCATCAGTGACGATGTGGCGCCCAAGGAACTGGTGAGGAAGCAAATGAAGTCCCGCATTGAGTTCTACGATCACGTCGATACCACCAAGGATCCCATTCGACGACCATCGATCGACAAGGGCTTTCAGGATCAGAAGCGACAAACTTTGTCGTCCAAGATTGAATTCTACGATTACGTCACGGAGCCAAGTGTGACGAAGAAGTCAGAGAACATCACCAGAAGCGCCTCTCCGGCAAAAGTGGTGGAAAAGAAGATATCATTTACGGAAAATCAGTCAGAAAAACCATCATCGAGTAAGAAAGAACACATAATTGCTATTAAGAATGATGATATTTCCAAGAAATCCAACATCTCCCGAAAGAACATCAGCAAATCCAAGTCTGTTGAGAATCTCACGCTGAAGAAGGATGATGAGGATATGGATTTACATAAGCTCAACAAGCAGGTGCAAAATCTCAAGATAGGCCCAAATGGACGAACTGAGGAGAAGATTGAGACACTTAAGCAGTCCAAAGTGAAGCCCATCCTGAAGACGAGACGCGTGGAAGTTGAGCCAGAGGAGTTTGTCTATCGCAATGGATACGATTACGATGAGATGCCCGTGAGAGTGATCAAGTCTCGAGTTGTGAGACCCGAGGAGGAATATTACTATGAAAATCGCGTTGTTCCAGCGTACAGAAACCCCCGAATTCGCCCTGAATTCCTCCACGATGAGCCACAGATGATCCTGCATCAACCAATGCCCATCGATCGGTACTACTATCAGCCCCGCGAGACGCTCTATCGCGAGCCCGAGCCCAGGAAGAGGACAGTGAAGTACATGATTCCAGAAGATGAGGACAGATATGAGAAGCCACGCTCACCGCCACCAGTGGAACCGCCAAAATCACGACCTGTTCAGCGCTCAAACACCGTGAGGGAGTCACCAAAGCCATCCGAAGTGCCGAATGAGGCGCGTTTGAGGGCACATCAGCACCTGAAGTCGAGCATCTCGTTCTTCAATGACACCACCACAGGCGCAAACACCAGCGAGAGGAAACCGCTGAGCATTCGCGACACCGCCGTGGCTCGCGTGGGCGTTGGACTTCCAGATATATGATGATGAAAAGGCAAGAGAGAGATACCTTCGCGCTGCCCGCGAGAGTGACACGCCACAGTGATTTATAAGACACCAGGCACTCAATAATACTTTTTGACCAACTAATCACTATATAGGGTGACTTGTTTGTGGCTCAGCGCACAAATCTACACGAGAAAACACATGCCAAGAACATTAAGCCAACACATAGTGTAACGATTAATTTAACTATTTTACAGTAATGTGCATAAATGTGTGTTTTTTATTTGCAAAAATAAAGCCACGAAAAACAATCTACATTGAAAGCAAGAAAGAGAGATTTTTCGTAAAAGGAATCATTCTGAGATCATCATTGTGGAATGTTACAATGATTTCTCAAAATGCTTTGTGATTTGACTGAAAGATTATTATTATGATTATTTGCTGTAAAAGGTTTAATCCTCAAATTAATTGTAGGTTTTCTAAAGTTAGCGGGATTATTTGTGAGAAAGTATAGCAATTTTTGTGTGTGTTAATTGAATTCAAGCAAAATATCAAAATTCTATGCTCTCAAATCCATAAACAAGCGTCAATTTATGGGATCAATTTCCAAAAAAATCTCCATTCCAATACGCGGAAATTGCTCAAAGAATGAAAAAATCTAACAAGAAAGCCATCAAAAGTCGCCCGCGTTCAATTGATGACCCCAAATTAGTATCTCTCTGCGGAGAATCATTAGCAGTGTGGGAGGGAATGTCGAGGTGAAGACACAAACGCACAAAACACTCACTTGGAGTCTCAGAATGTCGGGATCCTTCTCGATGCCACCCTCCTTCGTGGCCGCCTTCACCACCACAATATTGTGCGCTGTGGAGCCCGGGCGGATCTTTCCCCTGGGCAAGGAGGCTTTCTTGGTCGTGGCACTGGTGTTGGCGCGCGTCAGTCTCGCTTGAGGGCCTTTGCTCCTGATCTTCGGCGAGTCGCCAATTGGGCGATCCGTGTAGGAAATGTAGGGCAGATCTGAGTCGGAGCAGACGCTGATCGGTGGCGAGCATGGGCGAGAGTCTGTGTGAGCTGCCACTGCCTCTTCCGCCACAATCTGACTAGAATTCCTCAAAGCACTGTCAGGCACAGCGATTGTGTTCCCACGATACAGTCGAGCTTCACTCGGAGGCCGCCTGGCCGGAGTGGCAGCGACTCCTTGGCCCGCGGTCGACTGCTCCGATCCCATGTCCTGCAAAAGCACAAAGAAGATCGCCTCTGATTAGAAATGGTGTTACGAGAGAGAGAAGAATATCGTGAGAGAATCACACGCTTGACAATTTCTTAGATTTGCATGTTTGCCTCTGTGGAATCTTCTCCAACATCTCTTGTCCCACAATTTCAGCTCTGCTGCACTCGTGCACTTGTTTAAATGCGCCGAAATCCCTTCGACAGACATCAGTTAAGATGTCACCGCGATAGTGAGTGTATCTTCAGCTCTCGCGACAATGTTGAAAGTGTTCTTCTTCGCGAATCTCCTGATCAATCTTGATTGTTCCAAGGATGTGACGCATTTAGTGCCTTTTGTGACAAAGTCTCCACAGAATCACTTCAACACTTCCCACAATCATGTGTCTTTGGACCTCAAGACTCGCTACAGATTGAGATATGAGCCCTCAAATCGCAGATCGGACGTCTTTAGTGAGGATCTTGGTGAGATGGAGAACGAAATTTCCGAAGGAAGATCATCTTCGACACTCAATCAGGTGTTTAGCTATATTTTCACACGACTCATGAGTCTGTTTAAGTACTATCAGACCACAGAGGGCAAGGCATTGGTCAATAAACCGGGCAGGAGGTTCCTCAACCTCTTCAACATCGTGCGGTTTCCCAACGAGCCGTGCGCTTCCTCGAACAAATTCCTCAGGCAACTCAGCGGGAATTGCTACCATCAGTTGGAGTGTGAGCAGTTGGGTGGAGTGGGCATTGAGGACTGTGCCAGTGGCTTTGGAGTCTGCTGCATTTGTGGGTATTCCTCCTGACGTCAAGAGATGCAGAAGGAATCCATAGAATCCCTTTTCCTTGCAGTTCAAGTCGGTTGCGGCGGAAACAGCGACAAAGAAGTGAGTTACTTCGAGAATCCAGGCTTCCCAGGTCCCATCACGGAGCGTGTGGCGTGCACCATGACCGTGAAACTCCTCCCGGACGTCCAGCAAGTCCTGCTTGAGTTTGTCTTCTTCGAACTCCGTCCGCCAGTCGAAGGTTTCTGCTCAGACGATCAATTTGTCGTGTCCGGCAATAATCTCAACAGCTTCATCCCTGTGATCTGTGGCGTGAACACTGGGCAGCACAGTGAGTCACTATGGATGATAACTTGGTCAGGATTTCAGGGATTCCTCTCACAATCTTTCAGTGTACGTCGATGTCTCAGATTCCGCGAGCAGACTGCTCTTCCTCTCCATGCTGTCCTCCGTGGCGGACAACAGGGCGTTCAGCGTGAGGATCACACAGCTGAAGAGCAACCTGGCGCCCCCGAACTGCCTCCAGTACTTCACAGAGCCCTCCGGAATCATTCAGACGTTCAACTATGAGGACAACTCGACGATTGTCTCAGTGAGAAATCCCAGCTATTTGGTGAGTTTTCTCTCAATTTTTACCTTTTCCGCTACTCGGTTAAATACTGTTCCTCTGAGGGCAGATATTATCATCGGAATTTGGTTACTTACCGTGAATTTTCACTTTTTATCAACGTTTGTATCTGGCTGTTTTCTCTTTCACTGAAAAACTGTCTGAAAAACACACGCACACACGGGCAAAAGCTGCAGCTGTCAAAAATATCCCATCCGATATATATCGGTGTTATTCGAAAAATATCGAGCAGATTCAGCAACGGAATTTTCTTTATTCTCCCACAGAATAATCTTAATTATGTGGTCTGCATCAAGAGAATTCCAGGATTCTGCACAGTTTCATACTCAAATTATGTCAACAATACCGAGGAGGAATTCCAGCTGACAAACACGGATGAAGGTAAAATTTTGCGTCGACAGCAAAAATCTCTCTTTGATTATCAACATTTTTCAGACGGTGTGAGCATAATTCCCCCGAAACAAGCCGGAGCCGAGATTTTCAACTGTGCTGACGACTACATCGCAATAAATGGAGTCAGATTGTGCGGAGAGAGACTAAATGACGGAAGCAGAAGTGAAGACTTCACGAAGAGCTTTCCGGTCACGGATTTCTCAGCCGGTCCATTGATTCTTCCCGTGCGCACAAATGGAGCCACCGTTGGACGGGGATTCAAGCTCTTCTACTCGCAAAATATATGCGATAATATTTAATATCACGAGAATCATGAGTAAATTATTTATTTCAAAGCTTTTTCATTGAAATTGTGGAAATTGTCTTGATTTTGATCGGCGCGCGGAAAAAATATCCCGCGCAGAGCGAACTGTCAAATCCTTCTGTGTGGTTTGTTTATGTTTAGTCGTTGGCCAAAGAGTTCTGCATTTTCTTAGTTTTTCGCAACAAAAATTGAGTTTCTCGTGTGCAAATGAGGCTCAGATGATAAGAAAACGCATCTGCCTGATCGCCGGACTGCTCGTGAGTCTCTTCCTGTTGATATTCTCACTAAACTTCTACTTCTTGTCGAGGCTCAATGAGCAAATTGCGAAGAAGGACTTGGCAAAGCAGCAAAAGGTGCCCAAAAGTGGGGATTTTGAGGCGAAAATCGTGGAAAATGCAGACAATTTGGAGGACCAGTACCGCACGAGGAGCCCCAAGTACCTGGCCATCCGCAAGGAGCTGCTGAAGAACCTGCGGCCGAGCAATTATGTGAATATTTCGAGTGTTTGGAATGCAGCCAAAGAGGTTAGTGGAAAGTGACCGGACGAATGGAGAGCGCAGGATAGCTGAATATTATTTTAATTTTTGCAGTGGGTGGCGGATAATGAGATCTACCCGGCCTATGCGAAGGGCGTGGGCGCGGTGGTGCGTGCTCTGCAGCAGGAGGGAATTGTCAGGGCCAAGAACAGCCCGAAAGGGACGCAACTGAAGCTGATGCTGCGTCTGGCGGGTAGTCAGATTGCCATCTTCAAGCCCAAGTGGTACGAGAAGGATGCGGTGTTCTCGGGGGCTGTGTACTCAGGGAAGGATCGCCACACGGCGGAGATTGTGGCGTTCTATCTGGGAGCGATTCTAAATCTCCGGTGGACGCCGATCGCCGTGGGCAGACGGATAGACATGAGAGATGTGTACAGACGGGCGGACAAGGAGCTGAAGGAGACGATGGAGGTGCGGAATGGCAGTCAGTACTGCGTGTTCGGGAAGTGCTTCTACTGCAGAGACACCGAAGCCGTGTGTGGCGAGGAGGAGTCGAATGAACTGGAGGGAACGCTGCTTCTGCTGGTGCCTGGTGGGATTGGGAAACAGCGATCACCGTGGCAGCGCACGTACAAGGACCACGTGAAGGCGCAGTGGGAGGAGGACGAGGAGTACTGCGACACCGTGAAGGAGAGAATGTCCATGACGCGCTTGCTGGACTTGATTGATGCCGCTGTGTTTGACTTCCTCATCCAGAATGGCGATCGGCATCACTACGAGACGCGGAACGAGAGATTGCTGCTCATGGACAATGGGAAGGGCTTTGGGAATCCTGGGACGGACTTTATTGACATCCTGGCGCCACTGTATCAGTGCTGCCTGATCCGGAAGTCAACGTGGCATCGATTGAAGATGTTCTCGGGCGGCAGTCTCACGGAGACACTCGAGGATCTCACCAAGTACGATCTGTTGTATCCAATTCTCACTGAGGAGCACTTTGAGGCGGTGGAGAGGAGACTGTTGCTGGTCTACAGCACAGTTGAGGGTTGTCTGCAGAAGCACGGCGAGTCTATTTTAAGATAATCTGTTCTTCCCCTTGCCAAACTCTATTAGCAATTGTTGACCTGAGCAAATAAAAGTGATTTGAATTGAGTGGCGCAGTTTTTCTTCGCTCTTGGGCATTGATACCCAATCAAGTTCGGGTGCAATGAGTGAAACTCTGTGCCCCTGAGAATCTGAGATGCATATTTTATGGCGTGAGGGTGCCCCCATTCAGAGCGTGTGGCCTGAAATGGCGCAATAACAAGTGCTGCAGACACTTGTTGGGGGGGAGGGAGAATTCACTTGATTCTCCGGGGGTGGAAAATCGATAGTGACCCAAAATAGGAAAGATCAGTGTTACGACTGGGTGTGAGAAATTCAGCTCCGAGCGATTGTATATACATTTTCCTGGGGAAAAATACTTGCAAAATATGTGAATAATCAACTGACGATGTTGTGCATAACATTCAGCTGGAAAATTTATTATACTATGGCTTCAGGGGTGGAAACTTTAATGTGGGGGAAAATCTCACAAATCGCGCAACATTTGCATAAATAATTCAAAGTGAAGCATTTTTGCAGTAGTTTTGTGCGTTAAATTGTATTAATTGCGCAATTCTTTGCGGCAACGGCGGAGAGAGTAATAAATCACTGGGATGAGGACACTCAACAAGTACTGGAGAGCAATTTCCCAGGAGGAAATCCTCTGTGCAGCAGATGCTCTGGATAATTTGTCATGTTCCTCCAGAGCTCATTCGGACAATCCATCAATTTTCAGTCGCGCACTCGATCATCGGACAGAAACGCGCCCAGAAGCAGCTTTTTCCTTAAGTGATGCAGCGACCTTTTGACCACCCTTTGACCTCATTCCGTCCCTTCTGATCTCCCCCCTGAGGCGTGAGGCCGGCGTAATTTAGAGCATGCGAAAGGACTTTAAGTCCATCATCAGGCGGAAAAAAATGATTCCCCGATAAATGTTTCTGACTATTTCAGCAGTTTTCCATTTCTTCAACTTTCCTTCTCAATCCTCTCATCAATTTCTTCTCCCTTACACACACAAGCAGCCCTTAAAGGCTCGGAAGAAGGTCAAAAGGCCATGAAAAAGTTGCTTCTTTTATTGTTTAAATGCCACTTTTCTGATGAACTTGAATTGATAGCGAAGATGCCGGCAGGAACTTTTCTTTTTATATTCTATCATTAGCACACATAAATCTATGGCCTACAACCCTTGTTCCTGACCCACTTTCGCCCCCATACACAGAAGCTGCTCAATTCGCAGTTTCTAGCGTGTGATGGCCATAAAATAAAATCTCCCCCGCATTCTCTCTCTTATATTGTATCTGATCTTGTGTGTCTGACAGAAATGTTGGATAATTGAATGAAAAAAAGCAACATTTCCTCTTGAGATTTCGCCATGACGCAGCATTTAGAGACTGTCTCGCTGCTAAAGTTGCGAATCGCAGACAATTTCCACGAGACGCGACGTCGATTTTGGCGAAATTAAATCCCAAATGAATTTCTTTTGCTAGGCGAAAAAGAAATCCAGTAAAATCTTGGCACTGGCGGAAGTGTGACGCCAAGAAAGCTCAACATTATGAACTTGTCTGTGTTTTGGGGAGGGTGAAACATTGACCAATTCCTCCACTTGTTCCGCCCTTCGGCAATTGAGTGCCGAAGTAAGTGCGCCCGTGGCGTGGCTCATAAATAAGTAAATGAGTGCGAATGAATGAATAAATGCGTGCTTATGGAGAGGCGCGCCTCATGAGATGATTGTCTTGGGAGCGAGATGTGTGGCAAGAGCTCTCTGTCATGATCATCCATTTCAATCCGTCTGTGTGACGCAGTAAAAGGCCCGCCAAATAGGCGTGCGGCAATTGAGAAATTAATAGGGATGTGGAGGCACGGAGACTGAGAGAGATTGGAATAATGGATTAAATCTCCTCACACATTTCCATATGATGTGGTGACTGGTTGGGTTATGAAAATTAATTAAATTTCCCCGACCCGAAGCAAATATGTATTATTCCTCTTCCGAGGAAGAGGTGGCTATATATATACATCATATTTCCAGGCAATTTTCCACCCATGGAGAAGCAATTACGGCGGCCTGAAGGCACGTTTTCGGATTTTTCCCGTCGCGACTCAGCCTTTTTAATCGCCCAGACCAGAGCTCAATTTCACACACGCAGCGGCGGAGGGCGGGCTAATTTGGCAAAAGTACAATATCCACCCGAATATACCGTGTTTGACTTTTCACTTTGGGGCCTTTTCCTATCAATTTTCCAGCGCCACCAAGCGAAAAGGCTCCCGGATTAATAAATGCACAGACTTAATTGGTTCAGTTGCTCTCGTATTTGATCATACTTAGTGGTGAAATTGCCTCTATTTTCTTTCTTTCCTTGTCATAGAAGCTTCTAATTTCCTTCCCCATTCTTGACAGTGCACAATTTAGCTTAAAAACAACTTTCCACCTAATTTGGCAGTTTGGTATTTTCACTGGGAAGCAACTGAGACAGTCCTGGCTGTGCGGGAAAGCTTGATCTTTTTTCATTCACCCCAACTCATCCGCTTTATCGCTTAACCACCCCCAGAATGGCTCATTGCCTTCAATTGTGGCCGCCTCATTGAGGGATGGAGCAAATTCAATTGCTTCATTATTAATCGGGTGGGTTTTTCATTTCTCCATTCCACATTTCCTTAATTTAACACCATATATTCTCTGCTATTCTAACGCCTCTCTTTCAGCTCTTCTATGGGTGATTTTCTATTTATTTTTTTCGAAAATGCCCAGCTTTCGACGCGGGCTTTTTTTTGGGTGCGAAAACAAACAAACAATGCCATTAAGTCCACATTTTCTCTCTTCAACTCAAACCCTCGAATGGCGAATAATGTGGAAAAATTTTTCACACCACCCATGGACTTTATTCAGTGTGAAAATCAACCTCGTGTGCAGAAGAAGCATAAGAAATTTATGAGTTGTTTATTATCCACCGAGAAGAACCCCCAGATGCCATGCGGATTCTCTCCACGAGGAGTCACCCTGAGGCTGTGTGGGCGGCGAAAGACGTGAACCTCTCGGGGAATCAATTGAATTTCCAGGCGCATCAGCGCAACGACACATTCTAACAATGCAACAAGTCCCTCAGGGTGTTCTCCAATGTTGCAATCAATCAAAATTCTGCTGATACATCCTGCTTCCTGTCGGGAATCCTTCTTCATTCTCTCAGTGGAGCAATGAAGGAGGAAAAAAAAGTAACACTTGGAAAGAAATGATGAGGATTTCTTGCTGCTCTTCGCACATTCCCACACTTTATGGCTTTCTCAGCTCCTCCTTGGGAGCTTTTCCAAATATGTAGGACGACCAGGAAAGCTCATCTCACTCTCTCCCCCATAAGTGATCTAATTTAAAAGTGACAGAGCTTGAATTTTCTGCTGCAAATGTGGCTTTTTTTCTTCCATCTCGCATTGGGAAGCTTTAAAGCTCGTCAGGGTGTTGGAATTGTCGAACAATTTTTATCACCTCTCCATTGGCAATATGATGATGGCAATATCTCGCTCTCGGAGCACATCAAAATGGCATTTCGGCGTGATGTGAGAGGGTGAGAAATTGCTGTTTTTTCCCAAGCACAGACACCCCCAAATGATTACATCGAGGATATGACAGTGTTTATGTATATTTATTGAATATTCCTTCGCAGGCCTCCCACCCGAAATGTCGGGTGTAATTTGAATAAATCAAGAAAGTTATTCTCCCAGTTGGAGACTTTTCCACCCATAAAAGCGTCATTATAAGGCTTTTCTATTGGAATTCAAATGCCATTCTGTGTGTGTTTTTTTTCTGTGGATTGAGAGTGTATTTTGCATCATTGGTATGTCGATATCATTGATATGGACGAGAATAAAAGTGTTACGGCGGGGACAATTTTATTTGGAGTCTGGCAGAGCCATTTCAGGGCTCAATCGTCTCACTAAATTGAGTTTATGTGCGTGGGTGGGGCATAATTCAACGGAGTATTCACTGAGCATCTCTAATAGCATTTTAGAGAGCGAAAGAGAGAGAGAAGAGGGCAAAAAGTCCCGGAATAGTTGGTGTGGAAAATTTGTGAGAAAAGCCAAGGCAATAATGTTATAAATTTCCTCTTTCTGTGTGATAATTGAAGTGGAACGATTTTTGCGGAAAAAGGCAGTCTTAAAAGTCGGCAAAAATCACCTGAGGCACTTGAGAATATAGTTGATAAAATGTTTCAACTTCTATAACTTCTTCCCACAATTTGCCAACCAAGTATTGCAAGTCGAGCAGTTAAATTTTGCCAACATAAAGTGGAAACAATTTATAATAATATGACGCAAAATACAAGTTTAGAGTGTATGTGCGTGCATGTGAAACACATCCAGAAAGCAGCACGCGTTGGCCCAAGGGCTTTTTTCGCCTTCCACCACCCCAAAAATTGAGGGTGCTTCAGTGCCAGAGACACTAACACGAGACGGGGAAACTTTATTGTTTGTTGAAATTTTTACAAATTTAAGAGGTAGTAAAATCCATTTATTGTATGTTTCACATCTCCACGGGAGCTGAAACTTTTCACCCGTTTTTTATGGACCGCAGTAGGAGTTCTTATTGATTTCTGAGCTGCTTCCCTTGCGCTCTTGTGTGTTTGTTGTGAAATTCACTCCACACACATCTTCCTTAACTGCCAATTTTTAACTATTACAAATTGATGGCCTTATTATTTCCCATAGCTTCACTGTGCTGGAGAGAGACTCCTTAAGAGGTATTCCATCAGTGGGCGAGATGCGATGTATGCCGCGGAGCATATTGGCTTGAAAGCTCTGAGTACACAAGCATAAAGTTTAAACAAGTTTTTCCCTTTTTGGGTCCCTTCCTTGAGCTTTGCCTTTTGCTGCTCTGCTCCCTCAATTTTACATGAGTGGAGAACAAAATATCTTTCTCTCTTCCATGGTTAGGGAAAATTCTCCACACCCCCAGAATTATTAATTCGCCCCTGAGAGATGAGAAAATGTTGTGTAATGTGAAATATATACAATTGGATAGGAAACATTTAATTAAAACAAACCTCATGGCATAAGAGTCGTGTTGAAATGTAATTTTC